TACCTCTGTCCCACTCGTATTGCTACCGTGAAGCAATTGCTGTATTTCGGTTTGGCATTGTAATATGGCAGTGAATTTACAGGGTACAGAAGAATGACACCTTAGTCCTCGGGAATGGCAATGCATGGAGGGTATTATAGTCGAAACAGTATACTCTGTTATGTCCATAGTACTGCTCATGTCTATAGATAACGGTTACCACTTTCCACCAGGTGGGCCGTCAGCTTGTTTGCTATTCTAAGTTGCATAAAAAAACTCTATTTTAGCTACCGGCGATGTTTATAGTCGATGGAACTGTCAACTACCTCGATGATACATGATACCCCGTATCGAAGTGAGTAGTCGTAGTAAGTATAGTAGTAACTATAGCTTATTTGTCATTTTTAAATTTTATTAAAAGATATCGACTTCCCTTTAGCACAGCTTTTAAACATATATTGTATTATCACGAATCAAGAGACATTGTAAAGGTTTGTATGTACCTTTCATCCCACTCACGAGTATAATCGGCCCATTATTAGATCAATTAATGCTTAATTCTGAGAAAAGGAGCTGGGCTAAGCTTACATGTCATTTTCACGATTTGGAATTTTATTAAGCATTCGACCCCTCCAGGACGCGGTTACCATACCCCATAGGAGCCTGAGGCCAAACAATTCCAATCTGAAATACGTTTACGCCATCGTATAAGTAAATGAGAAAAAACAAGATATCATTGCTGGCGTCTTCATTATCTATAAAAACGCGGAACAAATTCCGAATATCTTTTATACCTAATATGGGTATTTTTAATCCAGCAAATGTTGTTCTGCCCCTACTTTCGCCTACTGCGGTCATTTTAGTTTTATTGAGATAAAAACTATATTCTATCTCTCAAATTGAAACAAATAATACATATATGTCTAGAAAATTTCATTAAAATCAGATGAGCGGCTTAGAAGTTTTCTTTTAATAGATGATAATTGAATGGTATATGCTAGCGGGGCATTAGTAGAGGATGATAGGTGAGAATGAAAAGGCAGGTCAGTTAGCCAAAATATATGTAATGAATACACCTTGAATTTAATACGGTAGTTGCCAAGGAAAAAATACGTGAACGTGTATCATTCACCAGAGGAAGACTTTGTACAAATGTCGATTGCTTGGGTACCTCTGTCCCATTCGTGTTTCAACCGTGAAGCAGTTGTGTTTGCATGGCTGTGTTTCAGTTTTAAGGGTGGGATATGGGGGGTATCATGAGCGAAATAGTATACTCTGTTATGTTCATGGTACTGCTCATGTCTATAGGCGACGGTTACCACTTTCCATCAGGAGGGCCGTTAGCTTGTTTGCCGTTCTAAGTTATATAAAGAAATATCATGACACGGGTTATATATGAAGCAAGGTTTTCGAATAATTTGTTACCATAATAAAGGATTTTTATATGAGATTAGCTTTAACCCGCATAATGTCCGCGCGATATCAGTTTCTTTTCCGTTCCCACGAAAACGTTTTTATAATCTAAGGTGTATACCTACATCTGGTAGAGCCCTAGAGGCTATTACTTGCCTCACAGATATTTTAAAAATGACCATCCAATTAAGATTTCTACTTAGTACGCCACTTCAAAGCCGTATCTCAAGATTCACTCAACCGATCCCTACTCGAAGGGTCTACTAGGAAATGACAAATTCGCAGTTTTGGCCGAAAATTCGGGCGTTTCTATTACTAATCTATTACCTGGTACAGAATTCATTGGATTTGATCAAATTTACCATTCGAGCCAATCGAATACCCAGGAAATATTCGAAATTTTATTAGACCGTAAAATTATGCCCACTATGCAACCACTTGAATTCGTAATTTTAGAGTACACTGCAATACATAGCTTATACCTATATTTTGTAGAAATTCATCTAGCCAATACTCGTGATGCATCTGAATTAAAAATGTTCGATTTGGATATCATTACTTAGCAAATTTTGCGATATATTTTCTTTGACCCATTTAAAAGGTTTTGAAATAATACATACAAAAATAAAAAGATATGATCCACAACGTTTAATAAATTAAAATACGCTAAAAACTTTCCACTAAAACTATTTAAGCACGAACTGTGTCCACCAATTTGGGCGTTAGCGCATTCGCGACCGTTTCACACTTGCAGCACCTCCAAGAGTTCTTGCTGGGGACCAAGTGTTCGCTACTCACACACTCGAGGTGGAAATGTGACGAACACAGGCTGCACTTAATTGAGGCGCAACCCTCCATTGTGCGATTGCAGTAAGAACAATCCATTTTTTCAAAACTAGAAAAATAGCTGTAATGTGAAAATATAAAATTCTAAATCGGATTCAATGTACAATATAAGAAACGTGTTTCGGAGAAGTGCTTATAGATTACGGCTGAAATCAATATATACGTAAATAATACCAGTACGTAGGTATTCAAACCTAAAAGAGAATCGTCGAGTTTTGCGTTTTATTCAGAGGTTTTAGTAAAGTGAGGAAAATACGTTTGTAGGAAGAAATATTTTAAATAATAGTAACAATATTATAAAAGAAAAGGTGCAGAAATTTTTCATTGAGTTTATTTTACAATTACAAATTTCTTACCAAGCATCACTTGTAGCCGAAGGTGTGACAAATATTTCTATTTATACCATACATAAAGTACTTTGTAATTATGAACGACTTATATAATGTTTAACAGATTTTACTTTTCTTTCCGTATTTCTTCTATGTAAAAAAAATCTACTTATTATTTACACTAGAAGTCTTATTAAAAAAAATACTAAGAACAACTTACGTAACTTTTGTCCCAAAAAGATTTTTTAATTGTCCAGTTTTTATATCCTTTACTAAAAATTATTTTGAGATGATTGGAATTTTTTATACTTTTTAGATGTTTTTAGCATGACAAAAGAATTTTGACTGAAAAAACTAGTCTAACTTTATTGTTTTGTTTTATTGATTTAAATTATTCTTTTAATTCAAATTTCTTAGAAAAATACAATTTTTTCTTATTATCATGAAAAAGTTTTCACATTCTTTGATCGACAGAAAATTTATGTATACCTATTGTCGACATAGCAGTCCTTAACTACTATCAGAAATGTGTTTGTTTTTTACCTCTTAACGCCTTAACGGCTCAACCAATCGTCATAAAATTTTAAACATAGTTTTTGGCAAAGATTGGCTTTGTGATTTTATAACACAATAAAAAATTATCTTTTCTATAGATATAAGCTACCTTTTAAATTATTTTTAAGAGGAGTACCTTTTCCATTCGTTTTTTGTGGAACCAATTTTGATAGGTAATTCTTTTTGCTGACGATAGGGTTTATTCTCGTGTATATAATTTTGTTACAATTCAAGCCGTTGTCAATTGAAAAATGTTTGAATACTAATTAAATATATACATACTCAATATAGTCCTCTAGATCGACAATACGTATTCTGTTAGAATCTTTGTCCATGTTTGTTGCCTTCGTTCTTTTAAAGTTGATAAATATTTTGTAAACATAGAATGAGAATACCAGGTATTATTCTTAATCTATGCAAGTACTTTTGACTATTCCATAGGTTTACTTTTTTTAATTATTGGACGAAATATAATGCACACTTACCTTATTCAATATGCACTGGTTCCCTATCTATGCTTATATTAGATAGAAATATCTATGCTGAATACTATATCTATAGTTAGATACAAGATAGAACGTCATTATATGAATCTTTATAATAATCTCAGAAGAACCTCAGAATTATACCTCGAAAAATACACGATGTTTGATATTTGTGATTAGATATATATTTTCACTCTTAAATGTAGAAAAGAAAAACAAGGCAAATACAGATAAATGAACATTTTCCGATATACCTACGCGATGCGCATTTGAATTACATGAGCTATCAACATGAAAACAACGAAATTCAGTGAGAAACCATGGTGTACTTTTTCTCCCTACGTAAATAAAGTCTTATTATCGAGAGTACATTGTAGTCTTTATTGCACGCTTCGGTACAAGCTCTTAAATGAACAAGAATTCTAAAATAAAAGGGTAATTTTTCTTGTAACTATTCAATTTATACTTTAACTATCCCTTCAGTAGATAATTAAATATCTGCAAGTATACTAGTTCTAGTTTTCTCAAAATTAATATTATACGTGTAGATATGTGCTGCTATCCACCATATATATTTATTTAAATAGCTAGTAATTTAATGTACTATATTTTATTTAAACATACTATATACATGACCAATATATTAAAAGGCCAATATTTTTGTACTACGAACATTTCTGGATTGCCGTGTTGTCCCGGCATAGAATAGGTCACCCCTTACTTTTCCGTGGGTGTCTTAAGAGGCGACTAAGACAGCTTAATGATCGAGGGATGGGCAGCAGCGTCCCTCTTAAAACATCACCAAAGCCTAACTGCAGTTACCAATCCGTCTGCCTAGCGTGGCAACTATTAGAACCCCTCCCCACCCTTTAGGAGAGGCTTATGTTCAGAAGTGTACAGTAGATGGCTGACATGATGCACGTTTCTTGTGTAATTTGGATTAACAAACAAGTTGATATCATAAAATATCCCATACACTGTGACATTGAAAAAATATTCAGGGCTCCTCTATTTTTACCTTGTATTCCATCATATCATGTAAGAGACCGAATAAATTTTATAGATTGATATAGGTATCGTTGAAATATGTTTGATCGCCGAAGAATCATATGATAGGTAATATGAATAAGTAAATATAGCTGCCGTAAAACACCACTTTATCTAAATGAGAAAATTTTCAAACCTTACAGTATAGGTATCATCATCATCATCTTATCTTTATATCGTATGAGCTTTAACATAAAGTGATTACATTACGCTACGTCTATAGTATGAGTACTTAGCTCAATAGGTAACAATTACTTAGGTTGTTCAACTTTAGAGATCTAATAGTCCGACTTTTTGTGCCTTTGTTACACAGATTTATTACTGATATAAATCTTATTTTGTTCAGACGTAGTGGAGACGGGGGCGGCGCCCGAGTGCTCCGCTCGACACCGGACTGGAGTGACAGCGCTGTTGGCGGCGAACATCTCTGGTCACCCACATCTGTGTCAGGAGATTGCTGTTATGTCGGCGATGCCGAATGTCAGGTTAGTGATCAGAACAAACTTGAATAATAACATAATTAGTATGACACTAATTTATAAAACACGCTTATTTAATAAAATGCCATAAATACTTTTTAAACCAACGCCAAAAAGAGGAGGTTCCCAATTCAATTTAATTTTTTTATGTTACACAATATGTTCTCCAATTTCTATGAAATAAAATAAAAAATTGTTTTTACTGTAAGGGTTTGCTCCGCATCCTTTGCATGCCAGTTTTACGAAAATTGAGGTCGCTGTTATGCAAAATAATATTAAAAATGTTATTGACTCTTAATAATTCTCCCTAAATAGATAACTATCTACGCTAAGAGCTAATTGGATATAACTCCCATACTGTAAATTTCTGTATAAAATAAAGTGATAAAAAGAAAATAAAATTAAAACAGAAGGATATAAATAGAACTACAAAAATTGCTATAAACGGCCTGATGAATTGTTACATTTATAATTCTAAAAATGAAAAGCAATTTGAAAACCGATACAGCTAATCTCCAATGGCGATCCGTCGTCAAACATAATCGCACGAAATAAAATGAACATGAGCACGATCCGCGAATATTAAACATTTGTACTTACGTTGTGACGCAAAAGGAAATATGTCTCATTTATTTCTGTACATTCACAAACAAATGAGATTAATTGCACTGAAATGATCGTCATTATATCAGCCATTCATTGTACAACGCTGAAATTATAGATAATAAAATATAATTATTATTGTCTATGCCATATCTATATGTTCACCATTAAATATCGCATGGTTTATATACCAGCTTGGCATTGCTCAAATAGTTTTATAATTGTGTTGTACATATAGATAAAAATTCAAAGAGTGCTCCATAGCGAGCCCTTAACTAATAACTTTTTTAATTTTTGTACAACTAGCTTACTTTACATACACTGTCCTGTCTTTTATCGTCTCAAAAAAGAATGTACCTGCACTATGTACATTTAAAAAGTAATCAGTCCAATGTTCCATAAGAAGACCACTTCATTTATATTTTCTGTACCTACAATACATACATATATCTTTTGATACGTTTAAATGTAACATTCCATGTACGAGTATACATTTTACACCATACAAGTTCAGTAGCGAATGCGCAAAATAGGTCAATAGAGTCCTCACAATTACCTTTCAACACAATTTCAAGTTGAGCACGGCACCAACGACGATCATCTTGAAATTGGTTTGAATAAAAGTAAAAAACTAGGTTGGAAATATAAAAGTTGGAATAGTTCGATATACCTTTTATTCGGGTCTCTAGTTTTCAAAACTGGGCTAGTAATAGTTAAAGTGTATTAACAATTTACAAAGTAATTCTGGACACTATTTCAAGTCCGAAAATATAGGCATCATCATATTTCCTGTTTCCTAATAATTATTCCAGCAGTTATAATCAGTTATCATGTTATCAATATTCAGTATTTTTAGTATTAGTAGTAATAGGATTTACTACTTTATACATCTCTATATAAAAACAATAAGCCTTAGTTTTACTTATAGGGTTATTTATGACTAACTGATTATCTCGTTTCTGTGTTTAGACATCACAGCAAAGTCTAAATTAAATAATATTGTATTTTTACCGAACTTACATAAATATCCCAAATTCCAACTCCATCGAAAGCCAATAAATACTTATAATTTTTTTTTGTCCACTCACACACTCTACCGTTAAAAGTATAATAAAAAAAAACCTAACTAAATTAGTTTGTATGTAATTAAAAAAACATATTTGTTATATAATTACACTCAAAATAGGCTCTATTTAATATTTACGCATGGAATCAGAAATCTGTACTACAAAAAACGTAGCGCCCTTTCTAGGAATTAAAATGAAGTTGTAGATGGACGTTAGACCTGATACGTATTATCATATTACTAATACGTGTTACTATTAATCATGTGTGAGTGACAGCCTTTGATGTTAAAGATATTTAGTGAGGTTTTATCTGTTTATTTATTTATCCCTAAAATACATAGCAATAGTAGGTACGATTAATTCAGGTTCCGCTGACTGAGTTATCAGTACTAATTTATCATAAATTGTATTCTAAATAATTATAAGTTTCAAACGTCAGCAGAATTTAAGAAAAATATAGGGGCGCCACTTTTTATAATATTTCTTTAAGCACCTGTCAACAGCTAGTAGTTATCTACTTGATTTATAGAAGGAAAACATGGAAAAAATACCTAGTTAGTCATCAATATAACATCACGTCTTGTTAGTAGTTCTTATAAAAATCCCTCCAATTTTCTTGTGTGATTGCCGTATGTTTTCTTGTTACGAGGTCAGTGTCCAATCTGCATAATATTAACTTTGTTCAGATCTTGTAAAATATAACTTACTAACATATAAAATACCATTTATTTGTCTATTGAAATAAAAAGAAAATTAAATATAAGCATGATTAAAATTATTAAATCCGATATAAAGTGTCAGTTAGGTTAGTTATTTATCTAATTTATGTATAGATTTTTGTTTTATAGACTTGACAATTCCGTTGTTTGAAATTAGGCTTAAAACCAAAAGGCTTTAAGAAAGAAGTTCTCAATTCAAATATATTTTTATACATAATATATATTTATATACTTTATATAAGTATATCTATTCATTACACGATGTCTTCGCAAAGCCTTTTAATAAAGTTATACAAATGATACTGCTTTTCTACATTGTTGCTCACATCTTATTTTTATCACTCACAGTTTTTTATGTTTTTCTGTCGTGGCAAATTATTACTTTATTTCAATACTATTATGTGGAACTAAGTCTTTGAATTGATAATCAATTGCAAAGTCATTATATAAATACAGGAATTTAGTAGCAACATGACATTTAGTGGTATCTAGGGATGCAAAATATTTTAACCTTATTATTACTATTACATATACTATAAAAATATTTATTAATAATTATTTTTACAAAAAAATAGTCAAAACAACTTTTTTTATATATGTTTTAATAATAGAACTCAAAAGGTAAACAAGTATATTTAGCAACAATAAATTCTCTTATATTTATTCTCACCAGTCTTTTTGAAGTTTCACTTTATCATTCCCTGCATCATCAGGAAAAGAGGCCCAAGTCCCAGAGATCTAATAAAGTCACAGCAAATCATCAGTGACAAGAGTAACGAGGCATAGACATGAGAAATCGTTAACAATTATGCGACTGTGAAAAACGTAAGAGTATAATAAATTTCCTTGAGATTACAGAGGATTATTTTCGACTGGTGACCCTAACGGACGTTTTCTTAGATGAAAATAACAAACATTAACTCTATTACCCTACTCTAATGAGATACTTTGCAGATAAACGGCCGATTGTAGTATCTTAACAAGTTGTTTATCTTCTTAGTTGAGTACCATTTATTTTTTAATACTTACTAATAAAATAATAATACTTTGTATTATTAATCATAAGGTAGCTACTCGTATATATTTATGATAGTGTATAATCAATCAATACATATTATAAAATCGTAACTGGACGGTGCCTGTACATGGAAGATATATAAGAAAAACTACTATAGTGGTGCTTTATGAACGCCATAGAACACAAAACAATGATATTTAGAATTTTTGTCTGTCTGTTTGTTTGTCTGTACGTTTATGCACGCTAATCTCAGAAACAGCTTAACCGATTTGAATGCAGAAATTTACTAATGCATTGCGGTTTATTCCACTTGACATTTAGTTTTTTTTTATTTCAATTGATTCATAAATAAAAAAGTTTTATTATAATCTAAAGAATCACATATAAAATGCTATAAAATAACCGATCAGTTGCATTAATTGAAACTTTTTTTATTATATGTATTATATTTCGAAAAAAATGTCTACTCATGTAAGAATATATATATATATATATATATATATATATATACATACTCCATAGTTTACCAACGTGTAAATAAGTATATTCTCTAAAATCTTTTAATCACTGTAGTTTTAAATTAATTGAACGTAGGTATTAAAAATCAAATTAAATGCAGCCATTTCAGCCTTATTATCATATAAAACATTTTATGACGACATGAATCTATTCTAAAAACATTACGAATACAGGTTACGCAGTATTTATGCCTTTGTCAATTTACGATTACGCACATAGAGCCTTTAATGGGTTAAATGTCTTAGGGAAAATTTCCAGCCTCATAAAAACAGGAAAATGTTATATTTTAATAGCGCTCTACAACAGCTTTTGTATTATTTTAGCACAAAACAAAATACAACGAAGGGTGTGCTTAAAATTATCTACCTGCTAATTGCATCATAAAAGGTTTAGTTAATTGTGATCTTTATAATTGAGTGCTAATTATTTCAATCATTTTTTAATAAAATTAATTTAAAAAGAAACATTAATATAAATTCATTGTCAAAAAGTTCATTATTGAAAATCAAGTTTGTGTACCCTGTTATATTCGTACTTTCCACGTACGTAGTTTATGATATTTCAAGGTATTCAGAGATAACATTGTATGGGAGATACATCTATTTTTCTTTATACTGAAACTCAAAACTTCGTAAAATATTGTATAATATTGTTTATTTTTTTCTAAATTTAATTATTAGTTTCAATTATGTCAAAAACAACCTATTTTCAAAACCAAAAATAGACTCTGAAGTTAAGAATTATTAGATGAATTACCGATATCTCTGGAATTTTCCAACAGTGTAGAAAATAAATTGAATAATATGTTGAAAATATTTTCTTTGTCGCATGTATTTGTTTTGTTTGCTTAGTATCAAATAAAGACATTTTTTTAATTTTTTGAAATAATGTATCAAATTGTTTATTATCTAAAAATAAATAGACAATAAAACTATAATTAACCAATAGGATAATACGTTAAATCTTTATATATTGAACAATACGAATCCATTCCTTTTATTTTTGGTAACGAGGCTTATCTTGCTCCCTATTTGCAAATATCTTTCATTTCTATCTATCCTGTTATTTGTTCCTTTTGTTATTTGTATAAAAGGGTTCTTTGAATTATATTTTGAAGCGTCAGTAAGTAGGAAAAACCTATTGAATTTCACACAAATATCGGTATACAATTCGGCAGGTGGTAGCGAAGCGACAGGCCAAGAAATTGTAATTTCCTCAACAACCATTAGCAAGCTTCCTGTCCATTGTATGATGATAACAGCCAGTGGCCGTCATAGTTGAATGTAAGATTAATGGCCCGCCTCCATCGTTATTGAACCGGTGTCCAGTCATTTTGCTGTAACAAAAACCTGCACACATCTTTATAACGTCAATTGCTTCCTGTTAATTTCTCTATTCAAACTGTTCCTGTAACGAAATTTTACTATTAATACAATTACTAGTACCACAGGTACTTAATTACTTAGCCATATGTATATATAGTAGTAGAACAACAATATCTCTGACACTAGAAATGTTTTATAATGAAATCGTATTAAAATTATTTTTATAAAAGTAAATTATTTCGACGCGTTCTTAAGTTCCTAACTAACTATTATCAATGGCTTTGCCCACATGATTCAGTATGCAAAATATAACATCTTTTTATAAAGATATATGATAAATATGTTTAAGTTATCAACCAATCTGACAAAGATAAAGGTTCTCAATTCGGTTGTATTTTTTTTTGTATTTATTACCTCATAACTTCGTCAGTTGTAAACCAATTAAATTTTTTGTTTTAATTTGAAACTACATATATACTTATTGGTCCCATAGATCACTTATCAAAATTAGTTCAATAGTTTAGTTTTTACATCAAAATAACTGATTTTGCTACTACTATAACTATTTAACTTGGTATTATTTTGTGTAACAATCTTAATTACAATATAAATTACCACAGTACAGGTACTGTATAAAACTACCTATATAGTAGAGCACAACATTTCAAAATTTACGATGAATCACGTTTACAAGTAAAAATCAGGTAACAATTTATAAAAAATGAATGTATCTTTTATACGAGTACAACAATATGTTGCTGGTGTTGATTGATAACTGTAATCAAAGGCACATGTCAGCGTCAATAAATTTATTTCACAAAACCGCCCCTTTCAAAACATTTTGTTTAAAACGCCTGCCTAATCCATTTTTTGCCGAATGTTAAAGTTTTTTTATTATTACCATAAATGAGTTTTTACCTTAAATATTCATCTTATTTTTCCAACTATGTTTAGACCTTATCTACCTACAAAAAGAAAGAGAGGAAAAGTAATGCGCTTCATTGGTTTAGAAAAACGTTCAAACATTTCTTTTTTTATAAGAGCCATATTTACTTGTAGATACAAGTCTTTAGTTTTGATTGTACATTGCCAATGTCTATGAAAATTATTCTTAATATGAAAAAATACTGCTCGTAATAATGCATTATCGCTGAAGAAAATCCAAAATCCATACAGACGAAATAGCGGAACTTAATCTTACTGATGTAATTAAATTGTAACTGAAATTGGAGAAATTGGAGAAATTTGATACGAGGTGTCTTAATAAGAGTAACAGAAGTCAAAATAATATATTTTTTAGAATTTTTGTTTATCTACCTGTCTATTTTATAAAGCATGAGTCACATAAAAACTACTAAACTAAATTGAATGAGGTTTTTGCCAAATTGTGTATTAAGGTCTAGTTTAAAATACGGTGTATGTTTTATCTTTATACGCCTACTCCCTACATTACCTACCTAGTTACCTACTTCTCCAAAGTCACGCATTCAAAGTTGCAGGCAAAAGCTACTCTTATATTTAAACAAAGGGCTCTGTACATGTGATTCGTAATATATAAGATATATGTGAATTAATATAATGCTCATTATGCTAGGGCAAGTTATTTAACTTACCCAGCATTCAACCTAAAATAATATACTGGGAAATCATTTACAAACAAATATCGTATATTATTATTATAAATGTAACTGGATAATTATATGTACATTTATTCGCTTTCATGAAAACAAATAACGTCACACATGAGAATATATTATATACTATACCTAAGGAACACGATACTTTAAGATTCCTAAATCGGCTTTTATACTTATGGTCAAAGGTGCTTTTCGTCAAAATACCCTTTATGTAAAAGTGCTATTTATATTGAAGTGCCTTTCGTGAAATTGTTTTCAATCTTGAAAACTTTCAGTTATCGTTGTCTCGATAATCATATTTGTATATTAAGGTAAGGAATGTTTTCTTCTGTCGAAAAATATTAGGAAGTCGATCAAAGTGGTACTATTTTTAATGTGCATTATATTTCTGTAACTATCGCTATAGTATATTAAATTAAACAATTTTTTTCGAATTCTAAAATACACTTCCCATTTTGTCCACTTCCAAAAGTTTGTTATTGTTACAGAAGCACGTAAACTTAATAATCTAACATAGCAACGTTATTTGTCTATACCATATACACTTATAATATTTTATAGTAATTGTCTTAAAGATTTCTAGAAAAAGGTGAATATAATTATTAAGTAAAAATAATAAAAATACTTATTTTTATATTTCTCTCATATTCTAAGTATACTTAAAGTCAACAATAAATAATATTCCTAAAAATAAACATAACAGACTTGTCATATAAATGTGTCGTAATAGTATAAGTATTCAATTTTTTGTCTTTTGTAGACCTTTTTAAAATAATGTAAAGATTATAGATCATTTACACATAGTAGATTTGAGTTTCACCTTGTATACTTACACAACACTTATTATGCAAACAGCACTACAGTCAATCTGTACCCGTTGGATACACTGACGTCTGTCTGGATCCGGGGCACGGAAACACCCCGTCTAGACGATAATCGAGTAAGCACAGCTGTACCTACAACATCCTCGCAACAACTTAATACATTTTAAACACCCTATATCCTTGTCATAGATCAGATTACAAACCTTGAATCTTCCTTTTACCAAAACTATTTAATATAGATACTTAACTGAACATGAAATTACATGTAATACAAAGTACCTATTTAACCAAACGTCTCATTATCAAGTCCCTTAAAATAGTTTATAGAACTCAATACAATCAACAAATTTATGGTATGTAGGTATTTCAAGTGAATTTACAAATTAAAAACTGGTCGTTACAACTGTACAATAGTAACAATAGTTAGTGTTTAATCTGTTTTTAATAAACTATTGTATCGAATTTCATTTCGAAACAACTTTATGCTTTTATTCACCACTATATACTATGAAATCATTTAGAATGTTATACACTACTGCATTGTTATAAACTTTTGCCATAAAAAATATACCGTTACACAAATAAATTCGATCGTAATGAAATTGGTACAGTGTAAACAAATACTTTCGAAAAAAAGTAATCATAAAATTGTTTCAGAATTGGTGAAGATATTAACATGAAAAGAAAAGTCGAATTTGGAACCTTCCTTTTTAGAATCTGTTAAAAACTTTTAATATGATTATTTTTAGATAAAAAAAGGGCAGATATATAAATTTGCCAAGGACATCAAGTCATTTTATACAAATATAGTACGTGACTGGATTATTCTATAGTCGGTTACTCGCCACAAGGATCATTGATATGCAACAGAACTGCTATAGACTAGCCTTAAAATCCACAGGATCAAAGCTACTTAAGAAGTTTATACAACAAGATCCTGAAGCGTGTACATAATCCTGTAGAAACTTGATATATTCATACCCTGCTCCTTTCCTGTTAATGAACTAAGTACTAGCTATGTGTTGAATTGCAACCTGTTGCCTTTGAGCAACTTGATAGGGTTAGTGATATTATATTCGAATAGTAGAAGAATTACATTTATACATGTAATTTAATTTTCTAATCCGTCTTATGAGTCTAAGCCCCAGTACGAGTCAATGTTAATAGTTATTTCTGCCGATACTTGTTACTAATATTGTCTAATTAGAAAAAGAAATTATGAAAAAATATTTTTGTTCATGATTCAAATTATATTCTAATTTGCACAGTTACATTACGATATTGGAATAAATTTAAATTTAATTTCGGAGCTTTATAAACGCAATACAATTACAAGTAATCAAATGATTTTTACCATTACCGACTTTTCGACGTGCATCCAATGTATATATCTATTATCATCTTGACAATCACTAACATTTCATTGAAGTGTGAATGATCTGATTGATGGATATGTTTATTTTTAGGAAATTATACAATTTCTAAACAAACAGAAGAAAAAGAACACAACGAATTTCATTAATAGATTTAAAAAAAAAATTATCACTATACTACAATAAATATTTAAATCATCTTCACAAGTTATGAAAAAAAATTAATGATTATTTTTAATATCAATAAATATCTTATCCTAATTTTATTAAATCTACAATCGTTATTTTATGCAAATAATAGTTTTTAGTTCTCTTTTTATACGTCGCAATCTTAAGCGTTATGCTAATGCAGTTATTTAATATATTTGTATTTAATACTAAACAAGAGGTACAACAACTATACGAAACAAAACTATACGACTATACAACTAATACGAAATTGACTACTAACTGCAACTGAACATAAATTACATTACATTACAAATTATGGTGTTTTTATAACAATAAAGGACAAAGCTATCCATGTTTGTGTAACAAATTACCATCCAACTTCTAGACATAATGTTGATAATTTATTTACTGCTGAAAGTGAACATTTTAGCTAATTTGATGTTTGTTTTGTTTCAGAAACACGGATCCCGTATGAAATGCTCGGCATGCAAGATCGTCGCGCACACTGCTTGCATCGATATACTTATGGATCGAGTGCAATTCACTTGCAAGCCCACATTTCGTGACGTGGGCGTGAGACAGTACCGCGAGCAAACTATCACCCACCATCACTGGGTGCACCGGAGGTCAGAAAAGGGCAAGTGCAAGGCTTGCGGGAAGGTGAGAAGCAATATTTAACGTAACACGTACTTGTGTTCAACATATACGTTGATTACATTACTTAGGTAACTAGATAGTACCTGTGCTTTTAAATGTTTATATATTTTTTACTTTCCTTTTTTTATTTAACTGTTTCAATGCAAAACATACTCGTATTTACCTGTTACTAATCCACTAATGCCACATACTTCGCAACGTTTGTTTTACTTGTCAAAAGTCAGACATAATTTACCTAACAATTTTTCACAACTCTTTTTCAGTGTTAATGAGCTCTTATAACCAACTAAATGATTAATTTATCATATAATAAGATTATTTTTACTAAAATTTAGAAATTTTGTAGTAAAACAGTTAACACTTACTTGGGAATTTCGAAACTAAAATATTAGCTTATCGTACCAGTCCTAATTGAGGCATGCAAAACCGCGAGATGTTGTTAGTGGATAATAATAAAACATATTAAAAATCGAAAAGTAATGCAGTCATTGTCAAATTTTAATATGAATCTAGCTAAAATAGGACGGAGCGAACAATTGGATATAACAAGTTACATGGTGTTTAAAAATAATCTAACAAAAACATTTCATTACCTAAATTTATTTATGTTAATGCTATATATAGGACAGGTATTAAAAAATATATTCCAAGCGTAGGTTGGTAATAATGTCGCCTATTATTATCTAGACATCTATGCCGAAAATATACGAGTAAACTAATGGAATAGCTGCTATTAAAGAAAAGACACTTGTGTTACATCAATTATCCTAAAAATACACTACGTTATTTAAATGCGACAGTAAATTCCATAATCGTTTGTAGCATATTTGTTAATTTTAAATTCCATATTCAAATTGCGTAGACAAAATCCAAATAATTTCGTTACGTTTATCATTGTATCTATCGATACGTTATAGCGTAATAATTTTTGCAGTTAAACTCTGATCGTTTTTAAGTTGTGAAACCTCCTTATTCATAATAACGTCAACCCTCTCATAAACTTATTTTAGCTATTGAACTGGTTTGTCTCTTTATTTTACTCTAAATTCTTAATTTGAAAGAAAGTGACAAAACAGTGAAATAGTTAAAATAGATTTGTTTTAGTTTTTTTGAATAAGAAGGAAAGACTGTAGCTGAAACTTCTTTTAATGTAGATCTCCCTTTACGTCAAACGTTTCAATGAAAACATTTTTTTCCATTGGATGCTTCCGCGGTGATATTTATTACACCAAACACTCCAGTGGCTCGCGAATTGAGCAGTAATGAAAACCTCCACTGTATCAGAGAATAAAAAGAAATTCAGGTACGATCCTTAATCTATGTACCGGAGCGATTCAGTCGTTGAAACCATTTTTTCGTATTTTCGACCTGGAATGGAACATTTGCAATTAAATATTTTATAATAATTATTATACTCGTATTTATACAGAATAGAATAGAAGTAATCTTTACCCCGATAGATTTATTTACAACCCTTTTTAAATCGTAAATTTCTTGTTATTGTACTGCTAGGTTCAGGATGTTATTATTTGCTGAGAATAACCCGCAAGAAACTCAACAGTTACTCTTTTCAAATCGTTATGTACTCGTATAACATAATTTTACATTTGCTAGGGTACTGTGATCAAAATTAGAATTAAGTTCTATTTATATGTATGTATTTATAAAATGCATTCTTACATATATTTTATAATACAATACAACCAAACAAATATAACCAAGTAACATTTTTTCATTTCTTTGTTAGTTACAAGTCATTTGGCAGGTAATACGTTACAAACTTTGAATAAGATACTGACAAAACGACTTTCTCAACTTCATTGATTTCTTTTACCCTAAGTTTTTACCATAACCGAGCCACTGGTGTTACTAACTAGTATACTGTCATAAAAATAAGCCATAATGAATATTGTAGTTTGCTTTCGAAGTAATAGTAATAAATTAATACATACATACATATATACGTATCTGTTACGCCAAAAAATTAATAACAATAATAAAAATCAGTAAAAAACGAAATGAAACCCTACGTCAACCCAGCGTAATAATCCGTATATCATCTTCCTACAGAGTGACATGTAACTAACAATAGAACGTCAATAGATAGTTAAAATTAAGATAATCTCTAATAATTAAAGAATCAAGTGTTTATAAATACCGACCTACACGGTCTACTGGGTAAAGTAAAAGATAATGAGAAAAGTTCCCAAAGACCCACCTATGCCCATTAACATTTCAACCGCACGCTGCCTGCGACAAACAAGTACCATTTGTTCAACGCGAGGATGATCAAACTTAAACAATTATTTAGTTCAGTGTGTCGTAGGTGGTGTTTAATTATTTATGTGTTAAATCGAAACTGCAAGCAAGCAAGGAAGAGTAACCATATTACGCTGACCCCTAATAATAATTTAGATAAGGGTAGGAAAATGATTATGATCGAAACTGTAAGCCTCTCAAATAAAGACGGTAAAAATCCTTAAAATTATAAAATTAAAAAAATACTTGAATCATAAAAAATCATTTATAAAATTGAAACTATTATAAATAATTAATCTATACTTATAATAAATCTGTAGAGGTTAATTCTGTACATGAAATATATTTCCAAAATAACTATCAAGGGATGATAAGTGATCGATACTGATGCCAAAAATGCAATCAGTAAAATTGTTGTCTGTCTGTCTATCTGTCTGTTCGTTATAGAAACAAAAACTGCTCGACGGATTTTAACGAAACTTGGTACAATTATTCTTAATACTCCTGGGCAGGTTATAGTATACTTTTCATCACGCTACGATCAATAGGAATAGAGCAGTGAAGGAAAATGTGTCTGTTATATCAAAACCACTGAACCGTGGGGAAGGACATAGGCTACTTATTTTACGAAAAACGACGGAAACGCGGACGAAGTCGCAGGGAACAGCTAGTAATTAATAAATTACCAGATTAATACTAAGAATCTATCGCGTTATTTACAAATGTACTTATGGCCGACTGGCTTGGATGGATTAATTAATTTTTATTTCTGTATAATTAAGCATCCCAATTTTAAAATTTGCTTGTCGTAAATAAGTACATGACAAAATTAATTAGAAATAGAGACATGAGTCGACTAATATGATAATTTTACTTATTTCGTTATTTTTGGTCTAATAAATTACTTAAATATTTGTTTATGTAAACATTATAGTAGTATAGTTAATATATATTTATTGTTAGTCAGTCGTATGTGAAACAGATTTCAGCATCATAAGAGAGTAGCTCGAGTTGCAACAATGGAAAATATTACTCCCTTGAGATTTAATTATGTAGTTCAGTGTTATGCTTTAACGTAGTTTGCATGGATCCAATATTAAACGTATAGTTTTTACCCAATACTTTTACACGGTTATATTATTTCATAAATAGAGAAGAATGGAAGAGGAAAACATATTACGCCGATCCCAAATAATAATTGGGATAAGGGTAGGAAGATGACGATGATGACTATTTCATAAATATAAACATAAAGATATATGAGAACTGTATAGGCACAGTTCCTTAGCCTTTAGTATAAATGGGAAGAAAAAAAAACTATTTGCTAACAATTATTGGCACGATTTTTGACACTCGATGCTTCGGGAGGTATATAAGCTAAAAATAATTGCGTTATCTATGTTTTAATTTTTATTATTGTGTCTGAAATATATTATGATTTTCTATTGATATGTACTTGACCTAAATGTAACAATGTAAGTTTTTTCGTGTACTATAAGCACAGTTATTATTTTAAATAACTATTATATATTAAAAATGGAAAGTAAATGTATTAGAGAATTCAACTGATAGTGAAAGTTGAAATTATGGAATCGACAACAAATGAAAACGCCGCGTTGTGGATAATTAATTGAATAACTGAAGTGCACGCCGGTTGCAAGGTTGTATGTCAGGATAGGTGCTTAACGGATCGATAGGGTATTCACCCTCAAGCTTGTTAAGGGGTAATAGCCAAAAGAGTGGAAAATTACAGCGTATAAATATGGGTTATTAATACTGCTTTATCATTAAATTTAAATTATTATTGATAATAAACTGATCAGTATATTTTATGTTATTATTTAATATTTTTGTACAGATAGATAGATTTAAGTCAAATTATATATATATATATATATATATATATATATATATATATATATAGCACACTTAACAGATATACATTTATTATACATATAATTAGCCACTTACTGACTACTATGATACAGGCCTGCCTAGCGTAGTAATCAGTGTATAATAAATTGGAAAGCATTAATCTTGGATTATATAAAGCTAATTGTCAAATTAACTTTTTTTTTATAAGTGCTCTATATACTTACGTATATGACGTAATATTCTCATTTCTTTTAAAATAATTCACGCCATTTTTAGTATTGTAAGTATCCGAATAAATTACATACAATTAAATTAAAATTTCCGAAATAAGAAAACAGTACAGTGAAAAATATCCACCTTGGATATTTTTCACTGTACTGTTTTCTTACTTAAAATAAATATAATATTTATGTATAAATATAAAGATATCATTAAGTATTATGCAGACAATTAAATGTCATTCATATATTAAATTAAATTGTTATGACACAGTTACTTGGGTTTTTAATAAAACTGCCACCATTTTCAAATGACTTCAAAAAGAAGATTTTAAATTCGACTTAATATATTTTATCAAAAGGATCCTTATTTTTTAAATGATTGCTTTCAAAATCTAAATCTGAATATCCGATGTAAACTTTCTCTGTTGTCGAAATAAATTTAAATGACCGCCATTTTTATTTTCATTGTTATTTGACCGATCGCTTTCAAAATCGATATCTGGGGCTCCGTAGATATTTCAAATATAGATCCGGTGTCAGAATTAATCAAAGTGCCCGCCTTTTTCATTTAAAAATGTTTAAAGTATTTATTTGGATAAGGATTATCAAAATAGCATTAATAATTTAAACTTAAGATAAAATACAATTTAATAAATTTTAAATTTAGTCAATTATAATTAATTTACTCATATTTTCTATTACCATACGTAGGTATGTCTAAAAACTCGCATAAAATTAAAATAGCTTACACTTCCATTAATTATGATACCGATACCTGTTTTAAGTCTGCAAAGATTATGAGATATTAAAAAAAGGGTAAGGAAAATAATTCAAAATGGTTGTCACTTTTAGTGGCATTTCCCATTTATATTTAAAGTATACATGGCTCTACCAACACTGATTTCCAACTTACACCTCAAAATTTTACTAATTTTTGGAGCAATATGAAAGAATTATAAAGTTCTATCTACCACATTCTTTGGAATATTATAATAATAAATAAATAATATAATTAAACATATAAATAAATTTAAATATTGTAAAGAATTAAATACATACTAATAATATTTTAAGATACAATCTTCACCTAATCTATCTATATCTACACCTTAATCTAAAGTAGGTAATAATTTCTAGTCTGGTAACCCATATACTGTATACTCATATCTGGTACGCACACATGTATAAAAAGTTTTAACAGTTTTTTCGAAGTGTTTGTAAGGAGATTCTACATCTATATAATTTTAGGTATTAATATTACGCATTTTTTTTAATTTATTACTTATCTATTGATTGCATTTTGAGAGACCTCTTAAACTAAAAACATCGAATTCTCTATTCTGATCCAAAAAATAAAATAGAAAATATCAATAAAATCGGTTTACTATTGGCTACAGAACTATAAAAATATTCTTAAAGATATTATATATGTATATGGTATATTATATATACAGTCGTATACTATACCTCGAAATTGACTTTTTTGTATTATTAAAAATTATGTGTATTTAAAATATATATATATATATTCGTAAATGTTTTTAAACGTACAACATAACTGTCAATCAATCTACAATAAGTTTATCTTAAGTGTAAATAATAGCAAAAAATAAAGGTTAATAGGAATTATATACTGCATTCCGTGCTTTTATAAACAAATCTGTCACTCGGATAATATCATGAATGAGTTATGTGTAAGACGCACCCTCACAACTGCGAGCTACGGCGTTCGGCGGTCGCTACGGCAGCGTACAAGCTAAGCACGCTCACTGCACGCTCCCGCCCAACGCTCTGTCAAGCTAAAATCATTTGCATTTACCTCACATTTGCCTCGCCTGCGTCACGACACGAACGCTAGAAGCATAAAGCGAAATTAAAACTTCATTTTTAATGACGTGTTAGCATATCATACCGCATAGCTAGCTTGCACGGTTCGCTCGTTTTTAAGTCGTTAAAAAGGGGTTTCTAGGTAACATTATGAATTGCGTTTCATGCAACATTCTTTCATTTAAACTTTAACTTGGAATATTTTTTTTCATAGACATTGTTTAGGTATAATAACATCCATTAATTCAAATATTTGTTTATCATACACTGTTTTGAAATTTTACATAAATGCATATGTACACTAATCTCGGACGGCATATTGCACTATTGTAGCTTGGATATGCTTTTACAGATGATAATAATTGTATTAATAAGTAAAAAAATTCTAATGTTACATTTTTGATTGATTTTATATTCCTATCAATTACCATATCCCTTTATCATCTGTAAATGAACGTAGTATCGTATTTTCATGTTTTATTTTGCATACTTTATGTTTGTATTTTGTGCATGTTGTGTGTTGCATGGTTGTTTTATTGTCACAGTCATTCCGGCGCAGTTGCTGTGGGTCGTGCATATCAAGACAAGAGTCTATAGACAAGCCCTTACGTGTAAACAATGAAATTTCGGACCGCGTGCGTATTACACAATGCCTGTCATGTAGGCAGGTCCTATAATCAGACGTTGCTTATTTCACATGTTAAAAATTGTCTTTAAAAGCTTTTACGACTACAATAAAACCAACCTTGTCCTAACTAGTAATAGGCAAATAAATTCTTCCGCTTACTTATATTATTAATTACTAAATATATAAATAATATGTTTAGTTGTTAGTAATTAATAATATAAGTAATATAATTAATTACTAACAACTAAACATATTTACTTAGTAGTATTACATACTTCTTCACATATATTTTTATACTTTAATTACTGTGATGCACATGAAATACAAATGTATAAACTTATGTTATATATTTAAATTATAAATCAAATTTCTATTTGCCAACAGTCGCTGCAAGCCAAACTATCTTTCAGCTCGAAAGAAATCGTGGCTCTGAGTTGCTCTTGGTGCAAAGATGCTTATCACAACAAAGAAAGTTGCTTCAATCTTCAGCGGATAGGAGAAGAATGCTCATTGGGTATGTACACTAACTAATAATAAACGCTATAACTTTTACATTATTATACATACTAACTATAATTATTTTAAAAATATTAGGTTCACAATCCAACATTATTGTGCCACCATCATGGATTGTGAAGCTGCCAAGGAAGGGAAGTTTCAAATCTTCATTAAGAAAATCGCCGAAAAAAAAAAGTGCATCAAAAAAGAAAAGCAAAGACTCAAAGAATGAGCAGAAAACATTTGTGATAAAGCCAATACCAAGTGTGAACGTGAGACCGGTGTTAGTTTTTATAAATCCCAAGAGTGGAGGAAATCAAGGTGCCAAACTCCTACAGAAATTTCAATGGCTGCTGAATCCTCGACAAGTTTTTGACCTAACTCAAGGAGGACCTGGACCTGGGTAAATATTTCCTGTATATTTTTATGATTGTAAGAATATAACTTGACGACCCATATAATAAAAAATTGCAACTGTAGGCTAATAGAACTAAACGTCACTAAATACATTGATCGATACCTTTCACGCGTTGCCATTCCTATTAATTAACATGTTATGCTTTTGTACACTTGTAATTTTAAAACTATACCCCACTCTAATAATAAATCAAAGTTATTGTATTACTAAAGATGCCATTACTTTTAATGTGTGTGTGGGTAATTGCTTTAGTATTATTTATACAAATGTACTCTTTGTTTAGGAAGAACATAGCAATTAAGTCAGTATAAAATATTTACCTTATATACTGGTAACTACATTCTCTTGATGTACTAACTTAGCTACTCATTTTGAAAATAATTTTGTTGATTTTGTATTTTGTTATTATTCCTACTTTTTTTTATTTTATTAAAGTTAACAAACAGTAATACAATATATAATTATAATAAGATTACATTTAAATTTGATTAATAGTACTACCAACAACGTTAACTACAGATTGCTACTGTAGAAAATAACTAACAAACATGTTTAACTGCAACATTATTCGATAAATATTAAATTCACATAATTTATTCTTACTTAGACACCATATTCTAGTATTATAAATATAGTTTCTGGTTTTAAATACATAGAAAAGAAACATCAATACAATGTGGTGTTAATCCGCCTTATACTTACATTGTAGTAATCTAATTCAATAAATAAATGATATCAAAAATATCTGATATCATTTATTACTATTTGATAAAATATTACCAAATAGTAATTTCGTATGTAGGATCTTAAATTTTCACAACTCTAGACATAAAATATGGAGGATTTACGAGTTGAACGTGTGTACTGCCTTCTTCCTATTGCATCGATGAGAAAATGTTTTATGATCACTTTTCCAATTTGACCGAGCAGTGAACGTTTTCGCCTGTTATTTATTTACATATGCATATAGGATGTAGGTGTTATTTATTTGTTTTATAAAAAAGAAACTGACTGATCAACTTTATTTCCAAAACTGACAGTTGGCACAGGAGTTTTCTGTAGATATTTGTAGCTGAAATACATACATAACCTAATCGGTTCAATAATATTAACTCATATTTTTTTATGGGTAGCTTATAAGTAAGTAAAGTAGGTAGATAGGTATCTAGAAACACAACAATCCAATCTGCATACTTTTACAGATTTAGATAGAAAAGAAAATATCGTTAATTGACCTAGGCAAAAATTATTTTTGTAATATATGCTTAAACAATGGTTTTCAAATTAATAACAATCCTAATAAATTTTCGAGCCCGAAAGACCCCGCTGCACGAATGGCCAGCGTTTTATTTCGTCGTTGTATAATAATAATCTTAGAATTGTCGGGGTAATGGGAATTGATAAAGCCGTCTGAGCCGCGTTTAAGTGCTCTTTAGTGCCAGTGGAGCTCTTTCACATTTTGTTGATCGACTTGATTCAATTGGAACATTCATTTTTTGTTATTAGCCATAAGACTGTTTAAAAAATCTACAACCTATGAGCTTCTAATGTTTTTTTAATTATATGTAGGTACATCTTTATATCTCTTATATTATTAGCAGACTCTTAAAAAAATCTATTATAATTATAATTTTTTATTCGTTATTATCAGTAGTATTGAATTAAAAATATTGTTTTCAGTACAGTAAAGCTGACAATAATAAATTGTCTTTAGCCTACTAGAAAACCCCACTACTGCTATTTACGTAAATATTTTTAGAAACATTTATTGAATGTAACCGTTAATCCCGTCTTAATATAAAGACGCAAGATATGCGTGATATCCGGGCGTAGCACGCCAAGGGGTGCAACCTGCATCATTTCACCGACGTTGTCAAATTAAGAAAAAGTTTATGATACGGGTCACACTTGAAAGGAGCCACGCAAAGCTAATTTTTGTATTCCGACTAGGTTTGCCAACATCTCATACTTGTTATCTGGATCTTACGGAAGACCAGCTTAACAAACTTAAGCATCTTCAAAACGTTTGTATCAGGTTTATTTTCGGTCTTAGAAAATATAATCATATTTCCCAGTTTCGCGCTAAGCTCAAGTGGCTTCCTATTCGTTTTTGCCGAAATACTCACATTCTTTCACTGCTCCACACTGTCCTTTTCAACTCTTCTTCCCCTCACTATCTGAAGGAACTGTTTGAATTGAACTGTTTGAATTCCTACATTCCGTCAATTCTTTTAATCTTAGGTCTTATGAGGCCTCCAACTGAAGACTCTCTAAAATAGATATAATGCTTTACCAGTTTCCATACGAAATATAAAATGTCTGGCTAGTTTTAAAACAAAACTTAAGGAGTATTTGTGTAAGTGTATATATATATATATATATATATATATATATATATATATATATATATATATATATATATATATATATATATATATATATATATATAACATATATATATGAATGTATGTGTGTGTATATATATATATATATATATATATATATAACAATAAGCAGGGATAATATTTATATTATTATATGTATCACATCTCCCATATTTAGAACTACCAGAACATATTTAGAACTTTTCATCGTGCCTCCCACCAAATTGTTTATAATTACTCCTCTCCATCCAAAAGTTGCCTGGAAGAGATCGTTCTTAGCGATAAGGTCGCCCATTGTTTTCTCATTGATTTTGATTGATTGATTATTTCTTGTAATTATTTATATTTATAATAAGTTTACTATTGTAATCTTTTGGAGGAAACAATAAAGAGTATCTATCTATCTCACATGTCACAAGTGAAATTTCTCATGCTACGCCAAAACAATACATCACTCCAAGTATGTCGCTTCACAAAGAGCTACAAATCACTCTAAATGAAATCTCAAATGGTTGCACCATTCGGATTTATTTGTGAGTCACCGACTGCGCTTGGTTAACAGTGATATGAAATCGCATCATACGGCCGACTAGGCCGTACAGAGTGAACGAATAGAGACTTCACAATACTGTGCTCTTATCATAAAAATCATATTTCACGTCCTTTTTAAAAGGCTGGCAGCACACTTGCAATACCGTTGATGTTGTGGGTGATCATGAGCGGCGGTAGTCACTTACCATCAGGTGAGCCGCATGCTCGTTTGCCCCCTGTGATGTAAAAAAATAGCGAATAGTAGCGAGTATGACTCTAGTCATACTCGCTACTATTTGCTATGTGGACAGTTAACCGCTGTAACAACAATAACGATATTAAGTCATTGCGAAGGATCTGCGATTTATCACTTGTGATAACTCAGTAATTAAAAATAGTAATTTCACAAAACGACGATAAATTAAATGTAGAAGTAATTTCCAAGCCTAATTTTGACAAAGAGACAACCCTAACTGCCACAAAATTGACCTCGCATATCGTATCCTTGATTATTACCATAGAATAAAAAGTATCCGATGGTATGAAGATCCAATTTATTTCTGAAATAATTTTCATCCAAAATTCTCTAGTTAGTAAAGCGTGACTAACAAACATATACACACAACTTACATTTATTCAGAATAATAGGTAATAAATTGTTTTTGATCAAGTTAGAATGCCAAATTAGCTACATGCTCACCAGGTGAAAAATGGTAACGGTCGCTAATAGACATGAAGAGTACCATATATGTAATATACTGTGACGATCATGATATCCCTCAAGCGTTGTCATACTAAAGGATTATGGTATTATGCCTTTGTACTCTGTAATCTCACACCGTGACCCAGCTTTCAACCGATCACTTTAAATAAAGATTAACTCAACAAAATGTTACAGACTGGAATTATTTCGCAAAGTCCCTAATCTGCGGGTGCTGGCATGTGGCGGTGATGGTACCGTGGGCTGGGTTCTGAGTGTGCTAGATCGTATCGCTGCGAGGCCTGCTGTTGGTGTGCTGCCGTTGGGCACTGGCAATGACCTGGCCAGGGCACTTGGCTGGGGCGGGGTAAGTTACGTTAATAATAATACTATAGTCTGTTTCGATAGTACTTGTTGAAATGATAACCAAGTTTAAAAACAGCCTTTAAATGAAACTGATGTTAAATAAAAAATATCAATCCATTAATAGATTTTTTTTTTATTTATACTACTAATCACATAATAATAGTAATGTACATTTATTGCTATTAAACATCAGTAGATTTTCTTATAGTAAAGTTAATAATTTGTTTGTATAAACAAAAAAAAATCATTAGGTACTATTGAAACGGACTATGTTATTAATACTATGTCTATGTTACTATAACCATTTTTTTATTTCGACAACTGTTAAAGTCTCAAGCCACTGCTTGAGAACGTAACTGATCTTGATTTATAGAATGAGAAATATATATATATATATATATATATATATATATATATATATATATATATATATATATATAAACACTGATATAAAGTGCTTAATACTTCTTTTTGTCTTATACCTACAGTTATATTGCCTATTAAGGACATCATGATAATTACTAGATAATAATACTGCCTACTACAAAATAGACTTTAAAAATACAGTAGTATGAATTGTAGATTTTTAAGCTTTCTACGTGTAAATACCTACATCATTGTTTATTAGTGATACCATAGCTCACAGATATCTAAATATGCGTATAAAGATATTATTAAATCACTTTATATATTACTAGTTTTACGGCTATAACTTTAAAAACATTACAACCACTTCGATTTCAAAATATGTATGCCTTATTATTATTTTGATCTCTAACAAACGACGATAACGACAATAAGTCTATACATTATACTGCCATCTACAATTTAATGAATCAAAGTGATAATATTAAATAAATAAACCCTAAAATCAAATTAAACACTTACGTAATAAAATTGTTGGTCTTATCAAATAAGGTTACCAATAAAATTGATAAAACTTTATTATTATATTAAATATATATTTAATAAAGGTATATAACATAGATAATTTCAATAATTTGTTGTTCGAAGATCTCTTTAAATTAATTAATTAGTATAATTACCTAACTTTGATTCACTGAAATTTAATTAAAATGTAATGAAGTATTTAAAAGAAGCCAAACAAAAACTTGTTTTGATTAATTAATTTAAATATGGTGTTTACTTACGCAGTATCAATAATTTTGAAAAAAAATTACCAATAATATGTGAAACACTCAATAACAGAGTTCCGTAGCCATTTTAAAACATCAACTTTGTTGTTCCAGCATAAGAACTAGGGCTGAGTAATATATGGCAATATCTATATATTTTGGTTAAAGTATTTATATACTGATCCCATAACGATCATCAATGTTCAGGGGAACCCACTATATAGAAATTGAATCGATATACATATTATTTATGCCTAATAAGAACTAACAAAGTAGGGATTTTTTTTTAAATATTTAAGTACCTACTTAGTTAAAAATGAAAGGAAGAAAAAGTTTTTACTCTTTTATTCTACATATCCCGCCATAGAAACATTTCATTAATAAATTAATAAACAACCTTACAACATTAAACTTATTTCGGTTTCGTAATACTTATTCATAATTTATATAACCATGTTAATAACTTGTATAATCTTTGTAACACAGCCACAGTTCTGTTACACATCCTCTTAAAGAGTTATTTTGTGATACCAACTTCATCGTATTTATTATACATACTTGTTCTATAGAATATGCTTATATATATATATATATATTAAGTGGATGTCTTTGAATATATGCAAGGGACATCTTATATTTCGGTTGTCCACAATTGGAACAGTCCCTCTTGACCTCTGACTTCATCAGGCACTTAATAGGGACGAAATAGGTCGCTTCGCTTTAGCGAAATGCAAAGCTTAAATTTTGTGTTGATTCACTTACACTCTCGTGTCAGCGTTTCATACCTATTAAAGAACCCTTATAATTTAATTCAATGTTTGTCAAACTAATACGCGTCTACTCTTTATATAAAACCATGGGTTGTTTTCAAACTTTCTCTAATATTATTTTGATCAGAGGAATATTTCTACCTTAGGAATGCTTTGTACAAAGTTGTCTGCAAGAATAAATATAAAGTCTCCACCCCCTCCCCTCCACACCACGCCCACTGCTGTATTTTTGTTGTACTTATATTGTCATTTAAAGACATAATGTTACTTTTTAATTCTTAACTCCATCGACTACTTAACTGAAATAGATATATTGATTGACGGGTAGGTACAAATCAAATATTTTATGTCCTTCTTCATCACAAAAATTACTTAAACCGTTAAAATACGAAATGTTATATACAAACAAATTTTCACGTTTATAATAATGTAAAAAAGGCAAGAAAGTCGCGAAAATAAAGTCAATATCAAAAGCTCAAATCCGTGAATGAAGTTCAGCTACTTGCCGTGTGACGTAAGACGATTATGCAAATGCCGTGATTTGGTACCTGAAGCTTGATGTAGACACGACAATATGTTTTAACGAGCTCGTAAACAACATTTATTGCCTACATCGCTCATCAAATTTTATTATTCTTCAAAACGACAAACAAACTTGGTATAAGCTTCAATGCCGTCAATGTAGCGCCTTAATGATCTTACTCACAGGAAATTTGTACAGCTTTATAACAATAAAAATAACAATTTACTTATATATACAATAAATCACTTAAATTCCTACCTCAACCCAGTTAGTTCTGCTAGAGCAATTTTATTATTTGTCGTCTCCTCATTGTCTATAAACTTTTTATTCACAGAAACTCGAATAAATTGGTAGATAGTTTTGATTTGACCTCACTTAAATAATGACAAATTATTTTGTTATTATTTCAAAGTAATATTAAGTTATAATTTGACACCAACGGACAATTAAAATAATCTACAATTATTCTAAATTCAAAAAGCTTTTATTGAAATATAACAACTTTAATTAATACACTTAACTATAACCTAATTATTATATATTTTAATTGAAAACATATTACTACTTTTATTACTTTCAGTTGTGTAAGTAATATTGTTAAAATAGTTATTATATGAAAAACAATTAATTTAATTTGTAATCTTAAAATTACTATTGTTTGATTTTCTATTTTTTCTTTTTAATTTGCTCTCAGTTCAGCAACAAACAAAGTAATGATTAATCAAAGAATAAAGTGCTTCTTTTATTTTTATGCAAATAAAAAAAAAACAAATATGACAATCGTTTTGTTCGAGCTCTACAAAATACTTTCAGAAAAATTTACCCCTACCAATGGTTTTACTCTGATGAGAAAATAGAAAATTGAAGCCCTTGCAATTCTTACCAAATTCTATTCTCACTACTTTATCTACGTCAATCAAATAAGACTTTTAATCTGATATAAATGCTTTTGTAAAGAGATTTATGAAATGTATTAAACATTAACAGGGTTATGAAGATGAGCCGATATCGAAGATTCTAGCAAATATCGGTGAAAGCGACACAGTGTTACTAGACCGATGGCAACTTACTGTGGAACCTAACACGGCAACAGCAGGGGAGGACACAAAGAACGCGAAACCAGAATTACCACTCAATGTCGTCAATAACTACTTTTCGTTTGGAGTCGACGCTCATATTGCTCTTGAATTCCACGAAGCAAGAGGTACATACATTTTTTGTGTAATATATTACTGTAAGATATTATTAATAAATATATTTATATTATCTTCATATAAACATATTTATTAGCGCCTAAAAATGTTTTGAAGTTTGCACTTGCAAACGGTTATAGCTGTATATATATGCAAATATATATACAGATAATAAAATCTAAAGGATAAGTAGGCAACCCTGTAAATTGTTTTAGCCTTTGTTACGCTCTCCAAATTTAGGCCGTGGCGCATGTAATGAATGCATTCCAAATTCCTAAGTTATTTTAGTAGTACGTGACTGACAAATATCTTTAGTACAATGGCCTTGCAGGAAACCCTAAAATGCCCTTTTACAATATTGTAAAAGTAAATATATTCAAGAACATTTTGTGTTTGATTGTTTTTCGAGAACATTATGTTCTCTGATAGATATGCCTAAAAACTGCGTATATTTGCAAATACAACGATAAATTGAGATACACATTATAACAAATATTGTTTATGTTTGTTTATAATTAATATGTAAACATACAGTCTATCAGTAATATGGCGTGTAATGTAAACAGAATATTTATTTGGACTATTCTCTTTTCCTTATATAAAACAAAAATCGAAAATTATAAATTCGGACTGATTTTGTCTGAATTTCTGTTAAAAAAATTTTACAATTAAACTACTGGACCGATCTAGATACAATTTTGAAACGAGAAATAGTCTAAATATAAAAGGAAATCAACATAAATGAACTCACTAGAATAAAATCGCGAAAATCTATTTTTTTTATAACAAGCCACTCATAAACAAAATATAAAAAAAGATCATCAATTTCAAACACAATTTATTCAATGAAGATCAATCACAATTGCAAATGAGATACAAACTAAAACTTTTATATCATCATTTTATTTGAATATTAATATATTTTAAAAAACGAAACCCTAAAATTACACAAAGTTTTATAACAAAAATAATGTCTTATCTTTATCCATTATCTACACCTCTATCTTTGTACTAGATTTCTTGTGGGGTAGGCAGTGACATTTAAGTTTCTAAGGTCTAATAAGTTATATAATTAGTATTATAGTTATTTATCAATCGTTTTTATAGGCGATGGTTACCGCTTTTTATCAGGGCGGTCACTTTGTCTGCCGTTTTAAGATGTATCTATATAAAAAATACACTATATAATAAGTAGGCTTGTTTTGTCTTTAAATCAGAGGCACACCCAGAGAAATTCAACTCGCGTATAAGAAATAAACTGTTCTACGGCACGGCCGGTGGTAAAGACCTAATGCAGAGGAAGTGGAAGGGCCTCGCCGAGTTTGTTACCATGGAGTGTGACGGCAAGGACCTCACGCCAGTACTCCGGGAGCACAAAGTTCACGCTATTGTTTTTTTAAACATTCCAAGGTATATTTATTGCATATTATTACTCCCTGGTCGCTTATAGCTACTTTTTACGATCCATTTCGTTAATACCTCTGATGAAACTGTATTAATTTAAGATGGATATTAAACTCAGCTGATTATAAATACGTAATGAATTCTAATTATATTTTTCTTAAAATAACTATTTTATTTCCCTTGGTTATACATTTAATCATACATCCGATATTAAATTTAAAATCTTAAAAAGAGAATTTATTAATTTAATATAATTACACTATGTAAACACCAATAAAATCAATATCAAATCATAAAAAAATATTTTGTTTTACTTTACGCTTGTAATATAATTTTTATTTTTAAATCATTATTAATTATAAGTTTTATTATAACATATTTAACAAAATTATTGCCAATAAAATCTTTCTTTATTTTGCCAGTTGCATACAAAATTGTTATATAAAATATATTTATAAATTTATAAAAAAATTCACAAATGGCTGTGAACTTCACCATTGCATTATTCTTTCACAGCTACGGGGGTGGAACTCACCCCTGGAACAAATCAGGAGGATCATTTGAACCTTCGACTGAAGATGGCCTAATAGAAGTAGTAGGATTAACGACATATCAATTGGTGAGTTATTTTCTCTGTAATAAAGTCATTAAATTTGTAATGAGTGAATCCTTACTAATATTATAAATTTAAGAATGAGTTTGATTGTTTGATTATTTCTTTTTTGCCACTTGTCGTTTATGTTTGGTATACACATACTATATGGGATGGAATAGTATATAGATTACTTTATATTCCAGTTAATAATAGAACATATCCGCGTCACATGGACAAAGTAGTTGCGGGTAGGTTTACCTTTTTAGCCTAAATAAATAAAATAAATACATTAATATTTTATATACATATAACTAATTAATATAACTGATATTAGTTACAAAAATGTAACTTTATAATCATACATTCGAAACTGCATTAATGAACGAACTCTCTGTGTAGTCAACTTCAATTTGCATCTGCTTTATAGTTTGCAACTAGATTGCGCTATCTCTATACAGCACGTGTAATTTATAGTGCAAGAGTTACTATATAAGTTCATACTTATAACATTTTTAATTTAACACTATACATATCAAGTTAATGTATCCTTCCACTATTTCAATTACAATTTTCTTTATTATTTAGTATGTTTTTTATCTTTTAGTAGCTTTTACCAACGACTTCGTTCGCGAGACTGGAATATTTCACTAAATGAGATAAAAAGTAGCCTATATTTTCTCCATTCTATATAGTAAGCATATACTAAATTACATAGTAATTGGTTAAGGCGCTAAGAATAACAAACAAATTCACTTTCATATTTACAATATTAGTAAGGATTTATTGACAATTGTTGATAAGTCCACAATACTCGTATATACGATCTCACCACTATCAACGTCGTCGTATCAATTTGCCCGCAACAATAAACAACAACCCTGGTTTCTAATCTTAAGCTCCTGACAAACTGCATTAATTTGTTGCCAGGTGTAACTCCCATATACAAATAAAAAGGTTATATATTTATATATATAGTTACGTATATGATCTGTTTCAACAAAATTTAATGAAAAGGATATCAAGTTTTGTTAAAATTATCTATTACAGAATCTATTACAGATTAAGCCAATTTTTTATTTTTTCTACTATTACATAAAAGTAAACTGTAATATTATCAGGTAATTATTCGTTTATCCATATTTTCATTAAATTCTATTAAACAAACTCTACATGGACCTAAACACTTATACATATTACAATAATGTATATTATATTTATATATACAAATTATGTGTACTATGAATATTATGTTTCTACCTTGGACATAATTTCTATATTATAATTTGTCGCATTGTAAAATTATGTTCCTACTGTTTTCTGTTCTTGATTTTATCTAGAAGAGATTTCTTCCGTTTAAGAGCGATCATTTCGTTTCACTTTTTTATAGTATATCAGTCGTTATACCTCCTACGATCCTGAACTTATATATATAGTACTAATTATACACAAAATATCAATGATTGAATTGTGTGCTGAACCCCTACCACTGGCAGGTAAAAGCGGTGAGATAAGCCATTACACCGCCAAAATTGTCAAATTAAGGACTATTCTTTTATTAAATACTTTTTAATTTGTCCAGCCGCTACTGCAAGCTGGCGGGCACGGTACCTGTATCACACAATGCAAGACTGCCAAGATTGTCACCACGAAGGTGATACCCATGCAAGTGGACGGCGAGGCATGTAGGCTCGCGCCTTCAATTATTACACTGTCTAGACTCAACCAGGCCACTATGTTGGCTAAAAGGAAACCAGGAAGAACTATAGCACCGTGAGTATATATTGTCAATTGGCAATGTATTGTAAAATAGGGTTAGAGATTATTATTAACATACCTATGTTAGTAAATTAGTGAAGTCAGAAAGACAAGCATTTAAGCTTCTAAGAATATAAACATTTGCCGCTGTCTAAACGTTTACCACTCAGTTCTTCAACATAAGCCAGGACGTCCCATCTATATTTCTTCTCTAAACTCCAACGTTACGAATATGGGACCAAACCCATTATCGTAGTAATTAAAACATTACTCCCCTTCCTTCGGTAGTTGTATAAGAATAAAGTAATTGCTCACGCCCGTAATCCCAGATGGACACAGACAGTCAGAGCTAATTATCCGAGATCAACTTATACTATTTCTTCGAGCTTATCGAATTCAATGTGGCGTGATTAGTAATTAGGTTAGCAGGTTTACCGTCTCCGGAGACTTCATCGAATATATAAAACTAACACAGATTTTGATGTCGACCACCGTCAAACTTTTGACTTCGGATACGTGGTAAAAGACTATGCCACGACGTCAATAAAAATGCTACCATTATATGATATATTTTACTAATAGATACAACCTTACTTGGGCATATTTTTAATTTTCCGTAGCACAACATGATATTGTATGATATTACTCGTATTATCACGATATAATTAGAAAATCAAAATGAATGCAATGTTGTTTCCCTTTGATATTGTAACGGTAAAATCGTACAATACCATGACAGACTACGGTAAATTAAAAAGCAATCTATAAGTTTAACTAAAGGAATTTTTATGATATGTACTTGGCTACAAATATAGGTATTTGACATGACAAATTATAACAACTGTATAATTGTAAAATCATTTCAGCTACCGACTCAGAAATTATTCTAAAAATTCTTTCCTCTGATATATTCCTAATGATATTTTAAACACTACTTAACGATGTGTACTTAAATAGTCACTAATATGTCACCTAAATGTAACCCACACTGAAAACTAAGCTATGCGATACTTTGTTTAGTTTAGCATACGTGTAACTATATGAATTAAATAAAGCTAAACAAATTAAACTATCAGAATACACCCTAAAGACTAAGAATAAACGAAAGATGTAAGGGGAAAAACTGGCAGTTGACATCTGTATAGGCAGTGACTTCTCTTTCTCACTGCATCACAAACAGCGACGGTTAGCTTAGCGGGCATTGTCGGATTACTCAGCTCACATAGTTCAATTAGTTCGCTTAGCTCTCAGTGTGGCTTTTACTTACTTAGGTTCCTAAGTAAATATTTAGTTCACTGAGATAAGTATCTACTTTATACGTTAATGGTGATGAACCGTTGCCTACCAAGTTGCCTACTTTTTGATGATTTGTGTTTTATCAATATTTAATACGTTAACCTGTTTAAAGCAGGTAATTTTCCAACATAGGTACCTACAAAAGGTTTGTTTAATTAATTAGCGATTTATTAACGTATATCATATGAAATACACAACATCAGAATAACTTAAATAAAGAGAATACAAAATTTCGTTAAATCCTGTACACCGTACATTAATTAGGACATTTGTAATTAAGTGTATAGACTATATTTAGCTTTTCATTTCAGTCAAACCACGGTGGACAAGTTGACATTCACAGTGAATCTCATTACCATGGCCGATTACGAAAGGCATCATTATGATAAGGAATTACTCGCCAAAACAGGTAAGCAGCATTATGTAAACATACTTAGTTGTTATGTAGGTGGTATTATCGTCCCTATTTCGAGATTCAGAATGTATTTAGGTAAGTACAACACAGTAATTTTCGAGACCTAAGGACTAAACGCGAAAGTTACAAATTAACTACAACACAACTACAACACAACTACTAACAAAATTATAAAAATACATAAACAATACAATATTGAGATTATTCGAAATATCGCTACGCTACAGTCTGTTTTTAAATAACATATTAATAATCGTGATTATAGGTGTGCACAGCGCAGCTTTTGGGTTTCATTTTTAATTTTATTAAAAGTATTTTTGGAACGTGATATAATTGTCATATTTTTTTTGTCCAATTCTTATATAACCTTTAATAAATATATAACCATAAATAAATATATATAATTAATATATAACCTTCCTAAAGACATCGTATTCCCATACCATTTTTTAATCCTTTCGCCCACAATCGGCATTGGGTGGAATTTTCACCACTCTGTGCTCTTCCTCAAATTATTATAAATACATACCTGTCAAGATTGAATTTAAATTTAATTTCAACAAAATTTTATTCGTATGCTTGGGAGTTTGTATTTAAAAAAAAGTGTAATTATAGATCTTCGATAACATATATTACTTAATATGACTAGATATATTGTATTCCTATAGAATATATTTATACATTTATATATAGGTAATTTTATTAATGCTACAAGAAATTAGTACACACTGCAAATTTGATCAATCATGTGCAGATATACATATATCTTCAATTCAGTAGATTCTATTCGTCAAAGAAGTGTCAGTCAATCAAGTCGTATCATTAATATTAGTAGGTACCCTACTGTACCTACAGATTTCGCCATAATATTGTAGCATAAATTTTCCTGGACTACTGCGGGGCAAAGTAAATTGATTCATACATAAATTAAACGGCAGAGTACCGTAACAACCGTGACACGAACACTCTAATGGACTTTGAGTAAGTATAATAATATATGCCTACTCTTGTATTGATAGAAACATTAATATTTAGGTATTAAGTTTCGCGTCAGTGAACTTGATTAGAATATACTTTACAGTTATATGTAGTAGTTTATATTATAATGTATGAAGAACAAACGAAGTAGCAACATATTATGTCACATAATCTAAAATATTATAGTATTACTACAGTATACCGCAGTGCAATCCCAAAAATTTCATGCCTTATCTTTTGTGTCTTTAATCCTGTACAAAAAAGATCGACATCTTATTTAGCGAAGTCGATCTGTTCGATCGACTTCGCTAAATAAGCCCCTAGGATTTGATCCAAATAAATATATTAATATTTCTGTTAACTCGATAGAAGAAAAAGGCATAATATAAATAAAAGTTCTTTAAAATTCATAAAATATAAACACTTTCTTCCCCTTAAACACCCCTCTGTAACTCCTATATTGAGTATTCGAAAAAAGAACGCATCGCGCTTTATCCATAAGTACAAACGCATTTGTAGTGACAGCCATGGATCACATCGTTTATGTATAACATATCCGGGGCATAGGGGTAATGTCACACCGTTGTAATATGAAGTAAAATATGTGAGTAAGAAATCTGTATGGTGCAACAGTGTAAATTATCTATGGCTCATTAACCATTTTACTCGTACATATATAAACATAAACCCTGAGTGCTGAATAAGGGCAGAGTCTGATTTGTTGCCCAAAAATAAACATAAATTTTATAGCTAATGCCCGTAAATATAAGTGAATACGTTATTAACTGAGATATATTGAAAACTCCATACATTCTAAAGAAAATATAAAATAATTATATCGATTTGTACAGACGATGTAAAAAAGAGAAAAAATATATATATATATATATATTTATATATATATATATATATATATATTTATGTAATGTATGTAATGTATGTATATATATATATATATATATATATATATATATATATATATTCAATATATTCAAATAAAGGGAAGAAAAATTAATGAGAATAAACTGTTTAATTCACTAACTTCATTCTTTACAGCGGAGCGTATTGGGACTCTTGAAGTAAACCCAACAGCTGATTTGGAACAAATGCGCACTCTCATACAGAACGTAATCAAAGAATCTCAAGCATACTCTAATCTCATCGACTGGTGGTTTGTTGACTGTAAGTTATTAAAAAGTTTTCCTTTTGTATTTTCCCTTGGTATTAATAAGTACCTATATAACATACATATAGGACAGTTAAACATCAAGCCAGTATTTATCAGACCTAATTGGAACAATCCAAAACTAGGCTTCTATGTATACTGTTGATTAAAAAACAATAAGTAATTTCAAATTAAATTAACTTAAACTGAATTATTTCAATTATGACTTAACAAACTGTATTCCTCGCCTTTGTAGTAGTGCTCTATATGTTAATTTTGGATGTGGTTTATCTATGTTCAATCCAATCGTATTTCTACCGTGAAGCAGTTGTGTTTGCATGGCTGTGTTTCGGTTTGAAGGGTGGGATATGACGTGACTTTACTAGGTACAGAGGAATAACACGTGAGTCCTCAGGAATGGCAACGCATAGGGGTATTATAGTCGAAACAGTATACTCTGTTATGTCCATGGTACTGCTCGTGTCTATAGGCGACGGTTACCACTTTCCATCAGGTGGGCCGTCAGCTTGTTTGCCATTCTAAGTTGTATAAAAAAAAAAATATTGGGAAAAGACATCAAACTTAAACAATAAATTATTAACAGAAAAACAAAGATATCCAAAGAGATAATATTTTTTATATGTTAATAATTGTTGTATGTAAATATTGTTGTCTCCTTATTACAAATTTTGTAGTATTTAAAGTTAAATAAGTTGCATGTCAAAAATATTAAAACTATGTGATCGCCGACCCAACCCTTACCCAGTAAATATATAACACAACATATTTATGCGCCCAAGCTTTCCATCCTGTTCAAGCCAATGGGGACTTAAAAGATTTGAGTGCTATTTCAGAGAGTTCATAAATAATTCTTATCCTAGTATCGTATGTCTTGTAATACTTTAGTCACTCACATGCCTGTGTGCTATCATCTATGCAGTAAGCAAAACTATTGAGCTGAATAGAGAATAAATATTGTATATGGTTTTACGTTTTTTGTTTTCACTTATCTATACTAATATTATAAAAAGGAATGTTTTGATTTTTTCGTATTTTTGTTTATTTGCAATGAATCAACTCAAAAACTACTCAACCAATTTTAAAACTCTTTCACCTATAAAAAGCATTATCAGCGAGTAATATAGGCTAAGCATAATTTAAAAAAAATTAAAGATCCCTATGAAAATTACAAGAATGTAACTGTGAAAGACGTACCCATAAATATTATTTGGAACGAAGAAGGACATAGGATACTTTTTATTGTAATTAATTAATATATTATGTATATCGTAACACGTAAATGAAATCACAGGTAAAGAGTACTAAACAACAACAACAAATCCTAACAAATATACCCTCTATGCTATTAACTTGTTAAATTACAAAATTTATAAGATTCAAAATGTCTTACAGCCGTCACAGCGGAACGTTTCTTCCGCATCGACAAAGCTCAAGAAAATCTCCACTATCCTACGGATATCGGCCACGAAAACATATATATATTAGACACAGCACCTTTGACACCGGACACTGAGTCGACTGCGCCCCCAGACACCACCGCCACGGCATCGTTCGACCGCACCGGACCGTCCGTGTCGCTGGACACCACTACTGGGCTGTCAGTGTCGCTCGACATATCGCAAAGTGTCGACACGCCCAGTGCTGGAGTATCACTGGACGTTCCCGAATCGCATGCCAGGTAATTTGTTTTCTTATTTATTCATAACTATCAGAAAAGCTTAATAAAACAAACTTTATTACAATACAACATTGAATATTTGAACCGAATCGTAGTATTTCTCCTACGGTAATGAGAGAATACACCCAAACCAGATAACAAAAATGTAGATTACATAAATATGTCAGACTATATTATTTAATAAAAAAAATCTTTATTCTCGGTGTTTATCTAGAGGAAGGAGCTAAGCAGTTCTATTGCTAGCACATTTATCCAATTAATTCACACGGTCCTGGAAACTATGACAGTTAATTTCTAGTGAATTCGTCCCAATAGTCCAACTGACCCCGTCAGTGTATACTGATATTGCAGGCGGAATACCCATACCATTTTCAATCATCGATGTTTGTTTATTTAATAAAACTGTCCATAATGAATGCTTGTTTTAGAAAAATATTTTTGGCAGTTTTATGAATTAATTAGAATTAATAGATACGTAAATTATATATATGAAAACGGGATAAGAGAACATATTATGGTATCACTTCTTTTCCTCTTATAGATACTTCTAAACGTTTTTAACTTCATTTGTATAAGACCTCGTATCCTAGGGCAATCTAAAAATCAGACTTGTACAATAAAATATATTGGTTGGCCTAACAACTAATATAATATTAATGCTTAAATACCAATACTTATTAATTAAAATCCTATATTAAAAACAGATGGCGTCTATCGAACGATCAGTTAATAAAAACTCACTTAGAAACAAGTTAAGATTGTGAATTAATAAACAGTTATTAATTTGATTAAAGTAAAATGGAAGAAGTATTATTAAACATATTTAATGTGTTTATTCCAAATAATTGTCGGGCATTTTATTTTACGCTGTCTATTTAGGTTCCTTTCATTGAAATTGTTTTTATTGCATCTCATACACAATTGCTACGAGATATGTAATATAATAATTTTTGAACAAGACATTAATGTATATTCAATCCATCTATCAAAAGTTGATATTATATATTCAAATATGACATTTACTTTATCCGATATCCATCCATAGTAATACTAGGTACTGTTTAAGGTATAAAGAAACAAAATACCTTGATATCCTTGCATACATATACGAATCAATGCTAGTCTAAAATATTTTTTAAATATAGAATAAATTTTTTCTATAAAAAAAAAAGACATTAATACGAGTAAGTAACGGAGTGATTTAAAAGATATATAAAATTTCAATGATGTTCACTCGTAGCTGTACCTAGGTATTTAGATAAACTAAATCCGATATAAAAGAAGAACCTAAGAACTTACCTATGTCTTTTGCATAGTGCCTGAATGTTTGAGGACTAAGCCATGAATTAAAAGTAGGTAACTGTGTAAGTAGTAATGAAAATTGAATGGAGCATTTCTGAGCTCTCGGGTCCATTTCTCGTTTGTACCACAAAATAATTTATACCCTTCTATTAAGACTAAATATATTCACGAAAATAAACAAAAACTGGTAATATCTTTGAATACATAGTCGGCTAATAAACCAATATTGTAAATAATACTCCATATAGTCTATAACTAGTCTGGCGATAAATACTGTTACATAAAAACTTTTCTTTTTTTTAACTTTTTAATTATTTTGAACTTGGAACACCTTTACTATTTTAAAAACGTCTTTCGATTTCGCGCCATTTCACATATTTTTCGTGTTCATTATCAAATTACAATATGGAACGGGTGTTAAAAAAAATAGGATTGCAGCGATTGCCTTGTATAAAGTGGATATGGAGCCGTCGGTCATATTCCAGACACTTCAAAAGTTTGGTATCAGCCGTATGTTCGTATATCGTACTATCAACAGATACAACAACACTGCCTCTGACGAAGACCAGAAAAGATCGGAGCGGCCGCGTGCTGTTAGAACTACAAAAGCTGTTAATGCTGTTAAAGCCAGAATTCGTCGAAACCCTATTAGGAAACAAAAAATCTTATCGCGAGAAATGAAGATTCCCGCTAGGACTCTGTCGCGTATTATAAAACGAGACCTGAAGCTCGGTGCTTATCCTCGATTTACAGGACATGCCCTCAATCGATCTTTACAATTAAAGAAAGCGGATCGATCAAGACGCCTTCTGTCATAGAAATATTTCAGTATTATTAGCAGCAGTAATTCCAAATCGATACGACATCATAACCTTCAAGAAAAGAGCATATTCCTTTTTAAGAGACCGGCAGCACACCTGCAATGCCGTTGGTGTAATGGGTCATCATAGGTGGTGGTAGTCACTTACCATCAAGTGAGCCACATGCTAGCTTGCACCCTATGCTGTAAAAAAAATCTTCTTTACCGATGAAAAAATTTTTTACGATTGAAGGACACTATAATAAGCAAAATGGTAAAGTGTACGCTCACAGTTCTAAAGAAGCTGGTCAAGTGGTCGGAAAGGTACAACGTGGTCATAATCCTGCGTCAGTGATGGTTTAGTGGGGTGTGTCTTATCAAAGAGTCATAAAAAATTAGTGCAATAAAGAATATATAATAATAAAACTAAATTTTTGTGAAAAAGGAGTGAAAACTTCAGCCAAAGTGTATCAAGATACAATCTTGGATCGTGCTGTAAAACCTCCCAGCAATATACTTTCTAAAAATGTACCGTGGACTTTCCAGTAAGACTGCAGCTAGTCACAAGGCACGAACTACTCAAACCTGGCTTGAAACCAGCGTTCTCGACTTTATAAGACCTGAAGACTGGCCCTCATCTAGCCCAAACCTCAATGACTTCAAATTATGGTCAGTTTTCGAGGGCATGGCCTGCCCTAAGCAACACGGCGACATTGTCTCTTAAAAACCTTTGAGCAAGCAGTGGCGAAATTTTCCTTAGAAACAGTGCGTAAATTTATAGATTCGTAGCCAGACAGATTAAAGGTCTGTATAAAAGCCAAAGGTGGCCATTTCGAATAGAATATTTTGTTATTTTTTGCTGAGTCTTTAATAAATATGTCGGTATATATTTTAGTAATAATACATTACTTAAAAAAATGCATTTTCATTTATAACAGAATGTATGGCTGGATTAGGTATACACGAAACTTAACTCACTGACTGATCTAGAAACTTAAAATGCTCAGGATTTTTTATTATATCCTTAATATTCTTATATAAAGGATAAAGGATCACCCTTTTAGTACTATTAGTCGTCACTAATGAAATCAATCGTTAAAAAGCTTTGGTAACCATGAATCGTCACGATAGGAACACAATTTCCTGTACCTATAAATAATACTGTTATTTAATCCCAACTAAAATTCCGCTTATAAAGAAGATTTTATATATATAGTCGACGTGTCCTATTTAATCAGCTTGTTCCATTGTAAGAATAAAAATAGTAAGTTATCACGTCACAAATATGAAATATATATTAGCTAGCAAATCATAAGTAATTGAAATACTATATAAATTTTCTATTTTAGATATTAATTAAAGTTTTAAAGTTCGTCAACGTCGGGCATTATTAAGCACGTTAAATAGTTCTCAAATTTCTTGGCAAACTTGAAGTTGTTTAAGCAATTTCTGACAGTGATAGAAAGGTCTTCAACAGGTAGAATTGCGTCGGTAGCGTACACTTAATTAGAATTTGAATGTATAGTACGTGTAATCGGATAAAGGTAAAAATTTAACCTAATACTTTAAAATCTCTATTCATATTTGGAGTAGTCCCTTAATAGTTATCTTCTAATAATCGGAATTATAATCTCCGAGCGTTTTCATAGATTTTATTATAACTAAAATATCCAATGTGCAGTCCCATAATCTCAAAAGATATCTTTGATCATTTGATAGTAAAACAATATATATTTTACTAATATGTTTAAATAGATATATGGAACAATTGTCATTTAAATTCAATGATAATTTGATTGAATTGTACTAAAATAATTTTATCATCAACATTATTAATAAAATTGAAGTATTGATCGATTTCCTAATTAATTAAATTAAATTTAACCGTTGCACTATTTTAGTACAGAGCATAAATGAATATAATATTTATAATTTATTTTACTTTCTATCAGTGAATCGGGTCTCGGCAGTCCAGCACGAACATCAGAAGAATTCCTAAGTCCACAGACACCGCCTCCTGTCACACCTGCAGCACCAGCGCCCAAAACCCCTACTCCTAGTACTCCGAAAACAACGTCCCCACAACCTCCTTCCCCAAAAATTATATCAACCTCAATACAGGAATCAAATTCTCCTCCTCTCTGCACGAGTCCGCCGGCTAAAGAGCATCGGCCAACCCACGACTCGATAGCACGATTCAAAACGTAAGTATCTCGCGATTATTAGGTTGTGTTTGCGTTCATAAAATGCTTTGACATTATTAAAAAAATCGCTGTGATTAACAATACTTAATAAACCTTAACAATAGTTAACATGGCGTCATATCAAACGTGACCTTAATATTGCCAAAGCTAACGAGTTCCAAGTGTGTTTTTAAGTCTAAATTCTTATCGCAAAATTAGCCTCTAGCCATGAATTTAGAAATTGCACGCTTACGAGAGACTGGCTCTGTACAGTTAGTGGATACTAAAAATTTATTGACTTACCTTTAGTTAACAGAGTGTGATGATCATTATGTCATTAGGTTCACCGCACACGTATGACCTCTAAAGCACGGCGCACACTTGTCTCGGGATTGAAATCTGCACTCTATTTCTTCTCTCTTCTATTGCATGCAGCATACATGAAAAACTGTTTGGACTTGACCAAGAAGTGTTTGGCTATAGGTGAGATTCACTAACATGTATTGATTAGAAAATAGCTTAATATTTATATTGTTAACGTAGACTACTAGACTTATACATAATATATTAGGCTTATGAAAGTAAGTATCCTTAAGTAAATATAAATAATGGATGTATCTTTTTAATAAGGGTCTAATGTAAAGAAAATATATGTAATTATAACTGCCACTACCAGTCAGCGCAATAAATACATGTCAAGTTGACAGTTCGTTATTGTTACAGGAATTTATTAGAGAAAACATCTGACTCACTTCTCAAGGCTGCTAAAGTCGGCGACCTGAAATTGGTAAGACAATGGATAGTATACAAAATAAATAAGTACTTTGAATAAATTATAATAATCATATTAAAACACTATCCAAAGTAGATATTCAGTATTTTTTTAACATAATTATACTTCCTATACAGTAGATAAGTTATCAAAAAACTAAATATCATCTATCAAGGAATGCTGCTTCTTTTGACATCGATCTTACTTCCCTACTTTTATATCCTTATCTGTTAACCTATTGTTTAAAAAAAGTTTAACTTTATTTAAAAAAATCATAATTAATGAAAATATATATCATCAAAATTTTTACGAAAAATCATCTAACCCGAAATTAAGTATAGTTTGTGCTATCGGTACTAGATATACTTAAATACATTTTTTAAAATATTCTTTATAGAAAATACCTATCTATATTAATTATACTAATGTCTATGTCTTGAGTTAACATTGTATTTTTTTAATACAAATATTTATATTGTGCGTGAAACCCTCAACCATCAGAAGGTGTAACAGTATTTTAAACTGCTAGACCTCATATTTATTAGACGTTGCACATTACTGACACATATATTTATTTAAAGATGAAAGAGCTACACGCAGCAGGATACTCACTCCTGTCCATTGACGCGAGCGGACAGACAGCATTACACATCGCCGCCCGATACGGCAACAAGGAGATTGTCAAATACCTGATAGCGTGTGCTCCAACGGCTATTCTTAACATGCGCGACAATGAGCGAGGACAAACGGCTTTGCATAAAGCTGCTGCACATAAAAGACGAGCGATATGCTGCATGCTGGTGGCTGGTGGAGCATCCTTGACTAGACAGGATCACGCCGGCCTAACCCCGAGACATCTGGCGTTGCGTGCTGAAGACCACGATTTGGCTGCGTACTTAGAAAGTAAGTTCTAAAAGTAGTAGCAAAAGATTAAAAAAGAAAATAGTAGAAATGTCACTCATATACTATCTTTTGTAAATGTGACAACGCTCCCTAAAATGTATCTTCTTTTCTTTGGAGTTCACGTACACTGAGTGTATTGTCACAAATTAATTCACTAACTAAAGTAACTAAATTATAACGCGACGGACGTGCAGCCAGTCGCACGCTTGCAAGCTCTGACGCAAGTTGGTTACGAGCGAAAAAGAAGTGTAATGACTTAAGGGTAATTTTTTCTTCTATGTTAACTTCTAAATATTTAAACAGGTTTAGATACATAAGAATATCATTAGAATCCTTAAATACATCATTTTGATAGGTTTAGATATATTGGAGTATCATTCGAATTCTTACATCATTCTGATTGACTGTAATTATTATTTAAAAAAAATAGTAGTTCGATTTTTAATAAAGCAATCGTTTTTTTTTAATTTGCGAACTAAAATGTACCTGTTGAATTCACGGAAGTGTCAATTCTACCTAAATAATTATCTAATGATATTAGTAAAGATTGAAAACCTATCTCAGGAAAATGTTTACACAACTATGACATTCATACCCGCCGTGAACAAAGGTTATACCAAATTTACGTTACAAATAATTTATAGGGTAAGTGCGTAATACGTACTCATAAGTTCAGGTGATGGACTAGAATTACGATCAGCTCATTCTGCCATATTCGTGGACAGGTGTTACTTCTATATTACTTTGTTAACATTAAATTTTTAGCCATATCGAAAATGAGTTCTTCAATTTATTTATGTTGTTGAATATCTCTACAATTTATAATTTGCTAAATCAACCAGGTTCATTATTTCGAAATTTCATTATACATGGTATGAAAGAACTTAAACCTATATTTACATTATGTAATGTTATATATATATAAACTTATATTCTTTTTCAGGTCAAGAGCATTTCCAATTAGTCTCCGAAGACTTAGAAACTGCTGTTTGAAAATGGGAAATCCAAACGGAGATGGTCAATTTATTAAGACGGTGTCTAGAACGCTGCGAACTATGAGTCTCAAATAATAACGAAATATCATTCAAGACGTTTGAGAACTATTTTTATTATACTCTAACACCAAAGTGATATTTAGATCTTGTGACTATTATAGAAAAAATCAACGTTTCGCTATTTAAATATTTCCATTGAACGAGTTTCATAAATATTGTATTTTGATTCTAAATTAATAGAATAAGGTAATAGATATAATTAAGTCGGTATAAATATTACGGAGTAATAATAAGTATTTTAAAACATCAAAAATATTATTAGATTTTAAAAACAACTGAACGGTATTCCCGATTACATTTTTCTACAGGGCATTTGTGTAACTTAATTATATATATTATAATAATAATAACTTTTAATAAGTTGACCTGATGATTATAACTAAACAATTATTTTTGACGAAAATGGAATGCAATTACTTTTACGATTATGTATTACTACATACTAGATATAAATCAAATAATATCAGTCTACACAGCTTATTGCTCACGTAACTAAATGCCTAAAAATGTCTCAATATGTACTTAATGCTTAATATTTGAGTAATTTATAGCAGAGTTCGAAATACGTAGGTAAGTACTCTATTTTAACATTGATTATTAAATTATTTCTTATTAAACATATAGGTACATAATTTAAATTCTATCTATTAAGGTGTTCGTTTAAATAATTTGGATAAAAACCTGCAAGTTTATAGAACATCGTTCGTACCTTATAAGTAGTAGATCGTCTACAACTGCTTTTCATACAAAAAAAAAAGATATTTTGAATGGTTGTATTTTAAAAATCAAAAAACTTTTACTGCTTTCACAATTAAATATTTGTTTATAAAGAAACTCGTAATTCGTTTAAAGCGTTTTCCTTTACCTACATTATACACACATAATAATTTTATTTTAAGAATGCTGCTACAATATTAAATAATAATAAGTAAATTTTAAATTTTGTTCATTGACAAAAACACCTATGCTATAGAAAATCTAAAGACATATAATTGTTTTTTTTTTTTTATTTTATTTTATAAATACATACGTGACTTACTATATAGGTTAAAACCAATCAGGATACACGTACTCTTCGGAAAACTCCAGTGGCGGATTTACACTTTTGCCGATTGCAGATTTTCTAATAGGCTATTCAATATTTTCCGTCCCTACAGCCCTCTACAATTCGGTAGCTACAATTAACTATCATGTTAAATACCTTTTTTTTTTGTTAATTTTAAAATTTCGCGTTGTTTATACATATTTTTAAATTCACTATCGGGGCTTAACACGATCCTGTCGTGACTACGATTACGTGCAATCCACGTTAAAACGTCAGCAATAAAGAAGCAGGTATGCAAGTACTATTTACCTGCAAAATTTTTCATAGTGTAATTAAAAAATATGTACAATTTTGTTTTATCAATGAAACTATAACTTTTAGCTTCAAATTTGCCACTCCTAAAATGTGCCACCCTAGTTTCCAGCCTATGCAGCCTGCTGGTATATCTGCCACTGGAAAACTGGAAAAATAATTCCACTTAGAACTAACGGTCCTACTTTCCTCTAACTGTGTTTACAAAGTCAGAAAGCAAACTCCACTTAGTAAAAAGTTATGTCGATTCCTACACTCATAAAATCTGTTACGAGGTTTGCAATACACAGAAATTTTATGAAACATGCTCAATTTTTGTCGCTAACTGTACCTATTTTAAACTCGTTTAGCATTTGTTAAATAATATAGATAATGCTCATCAATTTCAAATGTCTTTTTATAATAATAATTATTATTACACTTCACGCTATTTTATAGTCAGCTATAGACTTTAACCGGATCTGCTAAGGGTAGTTAAAATACCATTAACTATTACTTCATTACGTGTAATATATGAATCTTTTTTTTTATTATTTTCACTATGTAGAAAAAATAATTTAATAAGATGTCAATTTGCTAATTGCAAATATTTTTTCAGTCTTCAACGATAAATACTTAGGTAATAGTAGGCTATAAAGAAATAAGTTAAAAACGGTGAATCTTATAAAGCGTATTTGCATTTATTTTAACAACAAATTATCTATTAACAACTGTTGAAATTTCTTCCGTAAAATACAATAAATAAATATTTTTAGGTATTTATAAATTAAGAATACCTTACCAGATCTTAATACAATATAGATGATCATGTAAACATGACTATTTCAGTCATTGATTTCTTTATAATTACTTATCTGAAATAGTGTTCAAGACTTTCATTTTTCAAATAATTATAATTTTTCATTTTACACTTACTATTTAAAGGAAAATTATACCTAACTAAAATAACTATGTTTTCTAATCATACTCATGATATATTACTGCGGATTTAGAAATTTAGTATCTACTATTTCGGCAATAATAGATTATCTATTAGTTTAAGATGAAAGTTAATAATTCTGTGTATGTTTTAGTACTGATATAATCAGTATAATTATAGTATAATGATCTCAGTGTCATCTATTTCTCTAACATAATAAGTTTTATTTGCAACTATACAGTTGGCTTTTAGCCATAAATGCGCTATAATGAACACGCTATATATTTCTAAATATTTCTATTAGAATGCCGTCTTTCCAAATCCTTTTATAATTTAATATTTTTCTATTTATTTTTATAATTCTGTGATGATACCGTAATTCGGTATCATCAGACTTTAGGAAATCACTTTCTTATTAAACTTTTATAACTGAATAACAAGATGTGGTTACATTACGCTAACAATGTTTATAACGATGTGATTCCACCCATGCTGTATATAACGACACATGTTTTAGGGAATTTGTCTGTCAACATAATTTAGTCATAATGCTGCTGAAAATCCCCCATAACAGTAACCCGAACAATTTCATTTTCCGCCCGTGTTTGTTATAAAGTACAAACAGTATTTCGAAATATTTTGTGCGAGTTGTTAGTGTTACTTATACGACTTTAATGCCAATACCTCTACGTATAGATGTACCTAATAGTTTAGTGTTTAACGAATTTACTCGTACTACTCGCTAACAAGCGAACAATGAAAGACAAAGCTGTGAGAATTTTGGTCATAATGTAAAAAGTAAGTTCATTTTTATTGTAAGCGAGAGCGATGTACACCGTTACACTGTCTGTGCGTTTCTTTGTTTGTGATTGTAGATAGAACATTTTAAGATTCGTAATTTATTGTTCTACTTATAGCATAATAAATTGTTGTGTTTGAATACTTTCGCTGTCCAAGTTGTCATAAATGATTTCTGCTGTTGATTATTCTGACGAGTTTGTTGTGTAGACGTTATATAGACGTTATATGCGTACTTGTTGATATAAATTATAGAAAATAATTCAGAAGCCCCTGTAGTTCGAAAAATAATTTCTAAATAATATGTTTTTTTTTTTATTGTCATTGAATAGATATTATTAAATGTCGTTATTACTTAGATATTACCAACATTTCTTATGAGGCCACTATATAGTGTCACAAATTATTTTGATTACCAACATAGTTATCTATAAAATTTATAAATGTCTGCTATTTGGTTTGTTATCGAATAAAATACAATCTAATTCCTACGCCAATTTAATCTTAAATACATTAGTGATACTTTCCTATGAAATATTAATAGTCTTTGTATTATACTGTATTGGAGGCCTTCATTCGTGTAGTGTGTTTTATATATCTCTTATAATAAACATGTAAGTAATTTCGCGACCAAATTCTATCTTAAAGGAGAATGAATATCACTAGGTTAGATTCAAGCACTGATTTACGAATGCTTTTTGATCGAATATTTGGTAGAACTGTAATTACTTATAATAATGTTTAATTTATTTAAATATTTATTAAATCCCTACTAAAACATCCTCTTATGCGCCACGTGCGGTGATCGTAAATTTTATAATAGGTAAATAGATAAATTTACTATTTAGGTGTACCTATTGGATGGTGTGAATAATGCTACCTATAATAAGTTACTATTTACATCAAAAACTGTATGATGTTACATAGGTATTTATTGTTACTCGTATATGTTTCAGTTCTATTGTCCAGAATATATGTAATAATTGATCTGTATATAAAGTTCAACAAACTTTTACAATACCTACTTAGAATTCCTCGTAGTATGCTTATTACGAAGAATTCTTACTATTACCAAGTAAATTTATAGAACGATGACGTTTACAACATTTTTCGTATAAATGTTTATAGCCGACGGTTTTTCACTGGCTGCTTCAGCCACACTCTGTGGAACTCTATGGAAAAGGAACCGGCATTAAACACATAATGTTCTTAGCACACGAATATATTAAATACTTCTGTTGTTCTTCTTCTTTTTAATACAATTTATTGGTAATTTGTCAAAGAATTAAATATGTAAATATATAAGTGTAAAACAAGAAACACAAATTTAATATAGATATTATCTACTGAACAAAAGCAAGTTCACACTTTAGTTCGCTTTTGAGTAAAAAAAAAATTAATTGATTAACATGATACTTATTTTCCACTTTTTTTTGTATTTATTATTATTTCAAGTGTTTACATCAGATACGTTACCTAATATGATTTAAAATGACTATTTTGATACCGTATCACCTCAATAATGAGGCCAATAAGGTATAGCATTCCATTGTTCATTTATTTATAATAATTTGATAACTCATTAGATATTTATAATATGGCCTAATAGTTTAGTTCTTGCGGAGCTTTCATTTGATTGAATAATTGATAAGTTATATATTTTGATATCGATGTGATACTGATTGGTCTCTGCCGATCAGTATTTTATATGTGTAATGAATATTTATTAAAACACATAAAGTATTAGGTACCTAAGTACCTTTTAAAACTTTTTTCACGTTAATTAAAATATTGCATTTTCAATTAAGTAGGTAGATATTTTGGCCAAAACTAAAATAAGTAAGTACGAATTCGATTTTCTTTAGTGCTGCTTGTTAGCGATCTTGTTGCAATTTTGATAGTAGGTAATTAGGTAATATGTATTTTATTACAGTGTACAGATGTGTCTATTATATTTTCATTGTATCTTCCGCTCACCTTTAGGTGCTTATTATTTTATATGGCCAATGTATTCTTGTGACCACTCATATAGATACGCTCCTGAATTTATCATATATGAGTCTTCTTTCTTTTATTCAGAAATTATAATACTTCAAACTTACTTTTTCTTCCAATATTTAAAAATTAAGATTTTACTTGCAAAATCTGAAAAAAAATAGAAACAATAGGAGGGATAACAATATTTTTGAAAAAGGTAGAAAGATAACAGTATTTCATGGATTTAATTTTATTAGTCATACAGATTGCCATATTTATTAAATATATATGCAGATCTATTAATTATTTTATAAGTATTGTGGCCAACACATTTTGTGACAGCCATGATACTTCCTATATTATATAGAAGTATACTTAAGCACTAGATTATTTGTATGAGATATGAGTTGTTACTATTATTATTAGCTAAAAGCGTCTTATACATTTAAGTGTTTTGATTGAATGTGATTACTTAAATAATAAATTGTTAATTTGCTTTATTTTTAAGTGACATTATTTATAGTGCAAAAGTACTGTGGTATCAACTAAACCTAAAAACTAAAATAATAAGTACCTATTATGAATTTGAATTCTGTACAATTGCTGCTTTGAGATTAAAATTATTTTACCTAAGTACTTGTTATTTCTAGTTTCGTGATGTCTATTATGTTATAATAATATTAATGTCAAACAAATTAACTAGAATATGTATATAAATTTTAAGAATTTACTAAGAATATACCTAAATCACTTAAGTAATAAGGTACTTAACCTTGAAATCATAAAAGACACCAATTTTAATATATTATTTGTCTACCTATTTTTCAAGACATATATCTTTTAGTCATTTTGAGGTATAATTTGGATACTTATTTGTCATTAAGTTATATAAAATTAAAATTATTAATTATTCGATTACCTTACTTACTATCCCTTCTTCATTAGACTTTCATTAGATGATAATAACTTAGGTTTATCATCAGTATATGAAAGAGTTATCTAAAAATATAACTAGTCCAGACGTTTGGGTTTTTCTACTAAGAATAGATATAACTAAATGTTTATATGTAGTAAACACAATATGCTACCACGTCTTTTTATCTCCAGCAGGTCATGAGCCAGTTAGGAAAATCAATATACCTACCAGCATTACCAAGCCTTCAGTGAAAAGAAAGAAAAGTTGAAATAAAACTCTATATCAAGCCACCAGGCCCACATAATAATAATATACATATTCTCTATGGGGAAAGTTCTGTATCCGCAAATGGATGTTATGGGTTGCTATGCGAATATCCCTAATAGAAACGTACCTGCTTTATATAAGGAGGTTGTATGTACTAGTTCATTGCAAATACAAAATTCTGTTGAAAAATAGAATGAAAGTGTTTTAAAAATTTCATGCATTGTTCTATTATGGTGAGAGAAGGAGATATGTTAAAACTTGAATATGGTCGTAATGATAATTCATAAATGATGTAGTACATAAACTCCAGAAATATATGATATAAGTATCCCTAATTATTCCTCAAAATAATTAAATATTATGGTAGATTTAAATAATCGTGTCTAAAGTATAATAGGTACTATTTAATCTAAGTGGATAATAGACACTTGTAAATTTAATCCTAAGCACTTATTTTGAACCCTACTGCTTTACGACTACCTTTTATAAATAATAATGTACCTAACTGTAATTTTAATAGAGATTTGAGAGCACTCTTTTCATTGTAAGTACATACTTATTTTTGCACACAATAAAGTCACTATTTTAAATAAAGTTATTTAATGAAGTACACTGAAAGAACAATAAATAAAGTACGAGTTAATTTGCGTTTTATTGCAGATGCAATCGGAGCAATTCTGTAACAATAGCAAGTGCCTACGAAGTAAATTTAGGATAAAATAATATTTTATCCATTTATTGAAACAGCAAGTACCAACGAAATTTCAAAGTAGGCATTTATTTATAAATGAAATTCAGTTACATTACCTATATACATGATGTATAAATATTAACTACAAATAAATTTATCGGAGTTAGTAAAATGCGTTCAATTTGTTTACTATCGGCAACTACAGTCTTATTGATATATTTAAATACATAGATTGGTTTAAGAATAGGTATATTGAAACACAAATGAAAATAAACAAGTCGATGTAATAAAATCACAAAAACTCAACTGAGAAATTTTAACAATTTATGACCGCCACTGTCTTATGTAGCCTACAGTATTCATGAAATTAGACGACTCTAGCAATAATACAAAATATCCATTTATACAATATTACTGGACATTGTGCCCATATTTCGGTTCATACATTAGGTCTATTTATAAAACAGCTCCATTGGCAGTCTGTTAAAAATTTTCATTATCTATTTCTAATACGAAATAAATTTTTTGTTCCCTAAATACACCCACCAAATAGCAATATACATACTTTATTTATAGTTACCTCTAATCATGTATGTATGTAACGGTTTCCAATAAACCACGAGTCTATTGAATATTCAATTTCACAATTGTTTATATCTTTAAACACCATGTATATGGATGAAATAAGTAACCCGCCTTATTCTGATTAAGCTGTTTTCTTGTTTTGTTGACTTTTCCAAAGTTCCGTAGAGTGTAGACTACGAACTTTCGTGTTTTGTTGACTTTTTCAAACTTCTCTATAATTATCAGTCTTCAAAGGTATTAAGTAGGTACCTATTCTTTATCCACGAATATAGAATATTTTGAGGTTATGATTACACACAATGTAATATAATGGATATTAAATATAATTTCATATTTCATATTTTTAATATCCGATCCAGATTTCTTAGCTAAAGTTTTTTTTTTGATGGGTGAAAATGGAATGGTAATCCCACCTGCGCTAACGGGATACGCTGGCGGAGCACCAGTGAAGGGTAATCGATGAGAATGAAAACAAGCCAGTTAGCCCATCATGATAAATTCATAAGAAATTAACCATGATAGTTTCCAGGGTGAACCGCGAGGAGGTCGACCTGGCTGGGTATATTGCTAGCAATGGGATTCTTAGTCTCCATTACTAACAATCCCTTTCCCCCTATTAGCTAAAGTTATTCCAGATTTCTTACAGGGTGATAAAGAGAACTTAGTTTAGACTCACGGTTTTTAGTTTAATTTAAGATTAACATGTTCCTAGGGACTGTTCCTATAAATAATACATAGATACTATTAAATTAATACAACAGCATCTAATATTATAATTTGTCAACGAATGATCTACCTTACCATCGCTTCAATTTTTCTCTATTGATGCTCTGATTATAATTACAATCATAATTAATATATTGTATTGTATATTGTTTGCTTTAACTTGAGTGATAGAATAGTTTTTATCTCAATAAGAAAAAAATTATAACAGTAAATGGCAATAAGAAGTTTCTTAATACATGATAGTGAAATGGTAACCACGCGCTAACGTTATACGCTGGAGGGACACCGACGAGAGATGATAAGTGAGGATGTAAAGGTAGCTCAGTTAACTCGTCATGATGAATATACCTTTAATACCTAGAATTCAGCAAGATGGTTTTCAGGAGATCCACGGGGAGGTCGACCTGACAGGGTATATTACTAGCAATGGGACCGGTAGTACACATTACTAACAATGTCTTCCCCCTAGCGATAAGGGGCAGGTGAAACAACTTTTTTCAAGCCTGTTAATATTACTATAAAATAACTACTAGATATACCTAATTTCATGCGTTTTAAAATCTTTATGATCGTATTAAGTATACAATAAAATAATACCCATTTGCTAAGCTGCCATTAATTCCCACTGACCAAGTAAAAAATCACTCACCCGCCTGAACTACCCGTCATCGTATAATATAGAAGTTATTAATACCTACCTAACTATTCAATATAGGGGGGAAAGGGATTGTTAGTAATGGAGTTTGACAGCCCCATTGCTAGCAATATGCCCTATCAGGTCGACCTCCACGTGGTTCCCCCTGGAAACCATCGTGAACAATTCTTGTTGAATTCGTCACGATGGGCTAACTGACCTACTTCATCCTCATCTATCATCCTTCACTGGTGCCCCGCCGGTGTATACCGATAGCGCGGGTGGGGTTGCCATTCCATTATCATCCATTAAAAAAAAAAACTATTCAATATAATATTTTTTTAGACAGGCTTTTTTAGGCAGAAAATCCTGCAACACTGCAACCTTTCCATGAACTTTTGTGCTCACCCATTTTTAAAGTTCGCTGCTAATTCCTATAAGTGATAGGAATTGTAAGATGTTTTTTGTACTAATGTTTTTTATCTCCTCAGGATATAAAGTGTATTTTCCAAAGAAGAAATATCGCTTACGAAAGAATGAATTTATGTATGTATGCATATCTATAGTATAGATTGTAATCATACTATATTTGACCTGTACGTACTAAGCCTGTAAGTTAGTGCGTACGTAGTTAAAATATTAACATATTTACTTCATTCTTAACAATAACGCTTAGAAAAGACAAAAATGACAATGATAAGTTTTATTGTATTATAGTAGACTTTGGGCGGAGTACAGGAAACAACAAATATTTGAAAATTGTTAATAAAAATCTACTTATACCTAATATTTTAATTCTTACCGCTTGTACAAATGATGGGTATGTACCTATCTGACTTTGTATTAGACCCGCCACAAACTAAAGTTTCATCCCAATCATCTGGACGAGTGGCGGTCTTCCACCGTGCGTTTTTCAAGGCACTTTCTTCCACGCACAACCATTCTTTGGAATCAACTTCCAGCAGCAGTATTTCCGAACCGATACGACAACATAACCTTCAAGAAAAGAGTATATTCCTTTTTAAAAGGCCGGCAGCACACCTGCAATGCCGCTGGTGTTGTGGGTGATCATGGGCGGCGGTAGTCACTTACCATCAGGTGAGCCGCATGCTCGTTTGCCCCCTGTGTTGTAAAAAAAAAAAAAAAAAAAAAATTTGGGCTCTACTAAAATTTGATGAGTAATTGAATACATAAGTGTTTGAAACGATATGTCGTATTTTCAGATTTTTGGTTATAAATATACTCAAATTAAATAAAAGCTAGTAATAAGTAGGTAAAATATTTAGATAATGAGAGCTATATGCTACTACAAAGACTGTCAAAATATTTTTGGACGCCACGTGTTACCAACTATTGTTGCCTGATGTCACTCCTATCTACGTCAATATGGAATTTCACCGACAATTATTGATTTCTTTAATTTTAGAAGAGCACGCAACACCACTGTAGGACACACTAGCTTCGATAGATGATACACAAACAATTTATTCGCTTGTCTAACACACATACCTAACAACAAAAATAAAAATGTGAAAAAAAAACTATGTGATGTAGTGGTTTATAATACCTCAAATAGAATAGATTTTTTATCCTTTAAACCGAAATACAGCCATGCAAACATAACTGCTTCACAGTAGAAACACGAATAGGACAGACAAATAATATTTGTAAGTATGCACGAAATAGGTAACGATTAAGGTGACCAACAAGGTATTTTTTGTCTGCAAGTATTTCATAGGTGAAAAAAAAAAGAAGAAAAAACGATAAAAACTTTATTTTCTTTAAAAAACATATTTTTCTTAGGAGTGGATTTTTTTGCTAAATGAGGATGTTCGTCTAATAATGTAGCTACATCCGAACAACTTTCATTTTGCATATTAAATTTGACTTTTAAGACGGCAGATAATGTTTTTACAGAAAGTTGCGACTTCTCACTGCTCCAATAATCATTCCCTAGTGAAAATACCCTATCAACAGAAGCATTAGTGCCTGGACAACATAAGGGAATTTCTATTAAAACTTTAAAATTTTTATGTGGGATATGTTCTACTCTAAAATGCCGAAAGATTTCTACCTTCTTTACATCTTTTGTCAAGTTCTATAACTGAAATTGTTATAGTTAATAACAATTTCAAACTGCATACACGACGATATCAATAATAATTTCTACCCAATAATCATCAATAATAATCGTACTTACTAATTTTATATTTCGTATCAACACACAGATTATATACATATATATATATATATATATATATATATATATATATATATATGTGTGTGTGTGTATATATATTAATCTAATATTACTTTTTGAAACGTATGATACCTAGGATATTATAAGGATGGTACAACAATATCGCAAATAATATTCACTTTTACAACTCTTTTTATTTTCACCCGTTACGGGCTTATTGGATTGGCTTCACGGATGTTAACACCAACAACGTCACGTGCACGTGTGTATAACACGAATGACTCTACCTACGTTCTAATATTAAACTTACCTTCCGACTACCCGTCATAAAATGTGTCTATCTAACCCTATGTAGATATGTTGTATTCGAGTCAACTTCGAATATACCTAAGTGCATACTAACCTCGTTAGTACATTTATTATTATTTTTTCTCTATAAATATAATTGTTTTTTTTTTTAGTAATTCCTTTCAAATGGAAGAAATTACTGAAAAAAAACAATCGATACTGTTTAATACTAAAATTAAAGTAACTACGTACTAATAATTATTGTGACTACTAAACTCCTACTATTGCCAAATCTGGACTTTGCAAAGCCCCATTATACATATATTGAGATCTAGAACCCATAGGCGATCTTCGGTAGTAAATATTATCTCTAGGTCTCCTTCAAAAGAGAAAGGGATTATTAGTAATGGGAATTAGTGATATCTTTGATTGCTAACAATATACCTGTAAGATCGACCTCCACGCAGTAACTGGAAATTGTCGTGGTTAATTCCTGATAAATTTATCATGATGGACCAC